CCGCCAAGTAGTACTCGATAAGGAATTATCTACAGTTTTATTAATTATTAATTGACCATTAAATCATAATCAACTACGGGAAGCAGTAGTAATGTAAAAGAGTAGTGAAAACGTTATAAGAAATTTTGAAAATACAATTAAAATGATGGGCCAGTGCTAGATCATATAATAGGCAAACATGTAGTGACTTATGTACTTGTCCTCCATAATCTGATACCAATACTTTTTATTAGAGGAATATACAGCACTCCTGTACTTAGCGTGGTTTTTTACATTGGTTATCGTGAGATACATTTTGGATGCGCGGGATCTTCTCCTTTCCGAATTCCCTTCTCGGCCGCTAATAAATTGGATCAACCCGACTGCTGATGAGTTCTATGAGTTGTCTAGATACTGGCTTTACTTTCCCAACTCTAATCTAAGATCTTGAGTGGATTTACGTTAACCCCGCCCGGTGCAAATTTATTTACGGGTCCCGTGCATTCGGCTTGGCGTATCGATCGAAAATATCAGCGAGCTTATTGATCTTCTAACTAAACCTAATCGAATCTAACCCTAACCAGCACTCAGCTACTTTTAAAACGTTATCCTTCATCTGCGTACCCAGTGTGCACCCTCCTTTACGTTTTCATAAAATCAAACATCGATAATCACCACACAATTCGGTGTGGATAATAATATTAACAGTTATTATTCACACCGAAATTTACGGTTTCACTGATAACCACGTGTCATGCGTTTATCTAATTTTCAATTTTCACGGATTGTTTTAGATTGAAAATTCACTAAAGAAAATTCAATGAAATTCACTGCTAAATCAGTAGTTTCGTATTACAAGAACCCTATCGTGTTCATTGTGACGTCACCAAATTGTCAAATTGTCAAATTGCCATGTTGCGTGTGAGTCGCTACTGGTGATACTAACGAACAGTGAATTGATGCAGCTTCCAACGGTATTATGATAATGTGATAATTTTTTTTTGTGATATTATACAAGTCAAGCCTGTATGTATATATTGATACAATCGTTTGTCATAATAGTAATTTTACATTTCCACATGTTCAGAGTTATTCATGACAAACGTACCAACTGAAGAAGTCATGACTTAAAATGCACCTATTTAAACAAAATTTTTCAATTGGTAATCTTATCTCTATAATTACCGGTAAAAGTCACATCAGATACTCATATTGCTCTAGTATATATAAAAATATTTTTTTTCTATGTACCGATTCAATCAGAGGTATGTCGATTTAAATAATTTATTTAGTAAAATTACACTGATTCTCAGTGATATATTTACCACCGTGATTTTTCCTGACCTCGTAATCAGCGAGTATTCACTGATTCACTTTTAGAGAGCACAAATGTGTATAATTGCAATACATACAGTCACACGTGAATAGATACGTAGATAAAGGAGCGCGATGCGCTTTTCTTTACTCATATCACGTGGTACAATGTGTAACATATAGTATGTGTTTGGACCAATGGTTCAGGATGTGGTACACGACTCGCAACCGCTACGGGAAAGCATGAATTTTTATGAGTTTAGGAAATTAATTTGCGTTTTTCGTTAAGCCGGGCTTAGCACCGCGGTAATTAATTGCGCTGATTGCGTTGCATCATTGATGAACGGTTCTGGGCTGTACCGCCAGTTTCGCTTTACGCCATTTCAATCCTCCGTACTTCCTCTGCCCTCTTTCCATTTCCCACGTCGCGCGCTTCTGCTCTTTACCTGCCTAGCTTCGTTTGGTATCGCTTTCGATTACATTAACGTACATCGTCTAATGCGATTTACCGACAAAACTTGGCCCACGCCTACTTACAAGTATATCAAATATCCCAGAAGCAAATTACGAACACGAAAGAAATTTAACGAAGTACCTATGACTACTTGTAATCGCTGCACGAGTAGAACGTGATACTTAGGTGTCTCCTTTGTATCGAAAATCACAGGATTGTGGCCCCTTCAAACCGCGCTTTGCTCGTTTAGCTGGAGATATTGTTATTATTGAAAAAAAAAATTAACAGACAGATTACTGTATTCTTACTTGTTTACCTCATATTTTACGTCCTTAATCCAATGATGAATTTCGAATATTCTCCATATAAAATTTATCATAATCCCATCATACCCTGTATCGTTAAAACGGATCGTATATTGTTAATGATCGTAATACCGCTGCTTTTCTTATAGACACAAGCTATTCAGCTTACCATCCAGCTCTTCACGGGGTGGGCGAGGATTCCTTCGTAAGAAGAAAACAAAGGAGGAACAGGACGACTTTTACTCTTCAGCAACTCGAGGAATTAGAGTCGGCGTTCGCGCAGACTCACTATCCGGATGTCTTTACCAGAGAAGATCTAGCCATGAAGATCAACTTAACGGAGGCCAGAGTTCAGGTACGTTTACTCAACGGTTCCCGTGAAAATTCCTTTAAGGCTGTAACGGATCTCGAGATTCTTGCGTAAGAGGATGATTCGAGTTAGCGTGAAGTAGATCGATCTTTGAACGGGGAAGGGGATGACACATTGGCACGAAGACAAGGGCGTACCATGCGGGAGCTTGAGGCCCCATGGGGCGAGCTGACACCCCCGACCTGACATAATCTTCTGACGTGGTAAGCCAGTAATCTTCGGGATTAGTTTGTGCTCTGCTAGGAACTAGGCAGGCCGAACGAGTTTTTCGTTAAAAATCCACTGCTTAGGAACTCCTTAAAGTATAAACTGCCAAATCTAATCGTTATTTCATCTGATCTCGTTTCACTTCGTTACAGATAGCACTACGTTGATTCACTCCGCACCTGGAATCTCCTTGTAATTGGGGAATATCAGGGACACCCTTACCATTTCTTTCTTCTTTCGAAACAAGTATTTTTTACGTTTATATGTATGATTCGTAAGAAAAAGTGTAACGGTACTAATTATTGTTTTTCTTTCGTATCGTGGTTTTTTTGTTAGGCCTATACCGGTTGAACCCAGTGAGAGATAGCCACGTGGGTTACCATATAAACTTACAAGAAATATGTTTGAGAGCACTGGAAACTACTCGCGATGTCGAATCGCAATGATTGTGAATCGCCCGAATGTCACGTTTAATTTTTACTCAAACCCCCCAGAGCTTACTGTACTTACTATTGTGACGCAATCACAAAGAGAAGTTTTTGAAGGGAAAAAATAATTTGGGAATCTTAAAGAAATCATCAGACATTTTTTCATACCTTTTGCATCTTGTGCGAAATAATCTTTGTAAGATTTCACCTTAATTTTTATACTACTCCATACAAAAGTGCAATATAAAGGAGCGCTGATCGTATGGATGTCTAGTGCAGTTAGATGAAATTTATAGTTTAAAGTCAATTATTTCATAATTCACGTGAAAGAAATTGGTCGGGGTACCAGCAGTTTTCAGGCTCCTGAAGGAAACGTCATTCCAATTAAGTGCACAATCTTCTTACAAGATACCTTGTGTATAGCAGGGAAAGACGTATGGTAGTAGTATAAAGTATACGTAAATGTTAAGATAAATGTATATCAGATTGTGAAGGGATAAAGACCCTACAAAAAATTTCGTTATGAAAATCCATCGCCATGGAGGTCTTAACTAAGCATAGTCGAGATCTGTAGGAGCCCTAGACTTAAGGAAGAACATTTTTACTAGGCGAGTGACGGCACGCCTCAGCGTGCAAAGATAGAGGCCGTACATTATTACACTGCGCATGGGAATGTATATAAGGGGCGAAAATGTGGTCGTAAATTTCAAGCTCCGTGTTATTGCAATTTATCGTAAAATCCTTGCTCCGCCGTGCAAAAGGAAGAACTCACGATAGCAAAAGGCAAAGGCAGAGGAGTATAATGGATCATCTAGTGGGATGTGGGAGGTAGGGGAAAGGCGATGGAAGGACAAGGGGAGGGGGTCGGGTGCATGACGCAATTACGGCGCAGACTCATTGTTTCATTAGCGAAGACAAAGGGAATCTGGAATAATGGACAAATAGGCGCGTTTATGTAGTGCCGTTCTCTCCTACTCCAATTAGGAGCTCCTGGTAGAGGGGGGCCGAGCAAAGGCACGTTCTACGCGCGTCACAGATTACGAGCCCACCAGCCTAGTAGGCTACGAGTTTACCAGTCTACCAGTCCACCAGTCCACCGGTCCACCGGTCCTTCAGTCTTTCTGTCCACCCATGTACCTATCTAGCATTCATTTACTTACCTACCTACCCTGTATGCGCCACGCGCCACACGTCACTGCAATTACATTGCATTCACGCACTATCCTCGACTTGCATATAACTTTAGTCAGTTCACGAGTTCAATGGATTCTTTTCGACAATTTGCAAACAAAGCGATCCTTAAGACATCACACGTCGCTTTTTCAAATAATGGAGATACATATATATGTATGTATTCTAAAATAGAAAGGAATATATATTTTATTCCAAAATCATGAACATTGTAACCAAAATTATATGCAGTCACGTGCGGCTTGCTAGAAGTTTCTATGTATTCGATATGCCAGAAGAACACGTTGAAGTCATAGGTTCTTCTACAGGACCCCTGATCCGGGATATCCTACAGCTTGATTTCACACTTTACTTCGTTAAAGATTACGAGGTTGTAGCGCGATATTACTAGTACTTGAAATATTTCAAAATAACTGTAGTAGGTACTTCAGTTTAGACTAGAATGATGAGTTTACTGATAAATTCATTGACTCATACGGTTCTTGCGAGTTGACATTGAAGGTGTTTACGTTGAAGATAGAATTTCCTCGTATGATTGAGGCTTATGAAAGAGGGTATATACGTTCTGGGATGTCATGCTGTTTATGGACCATGTCTTTATGATTCATGATGCCATTCAATGTATTTCAAATTTGTGTTCTATTACTTATCATTGGGCGCTATGTGTAGTTATAGTGATACAATATTTTAATGTTATAGCATTGATAACTTTTGCTTGGTTGCGAGATTTGATTGCTTTTTCTTCGAGTCTTTTGTTTTCCTCGTTTACTTGCGTATCTTATATATTATATGATTATCTTGTTAACGTGTTTGAGATCTTAACAATAGGTTAAGTAGGCAGTAGTTTTGGTACGGTTCAGAATCGTAATTGAGATAAGTGTCGAAATACTTTTCCAATCAAATCTTTTTAAATTGATCCCATTGTATACTGCTGTAATATATTGAGTTAACTACTTATCGCTAGAATATTTATATTTACAATATATAAATTTTAGTTAGCTTCCAAAGCTGCTATTTTATAGGAAATTTAATTGCTTGAGTCCCTTCGCTGGATTTCAGTTTGTCCAGAGGCACTTGGAACCACGCTCGCTCGCGCTCGGCAATTGTTTTCTTCGAACTGACAGCTGTCATTACGTCCGATGACACTTCGAATCTTTCGACTGTGTGTATTTGTGTAGTTCGCGCCATTTAATTATTTCCGATTGTAAATGACTTCGATTATTACATGAATATTGCTTGTGGGTCAAAAATGAGAATAGAGACTTTTTTAATGTAGCGAATCATCTGACGAAACTTAGCCTGCCGTCGGACGTATTTTGACGGCTGTCAAAATTTGATAATCGTGAAAAATTTCAGACAGTAATTTGCAATGTGTACTACTATCTTCTTCAGCTCATCGGTTCGATAGCCAAGTATCCCAGACTAACTTTTCTGATATCCATGTGTTTCTACCATTGGTTTCCGTGAACAGATTTCTTTTGTTGCTCCCTATATCCAAAGGCTTCTGATTATCGCTTCTTATGCTCGGGTCTTCTGAATATCGGAATCCCGGCTATCACTGTATGTCCAAATTATCCTGATCATCTTTTGCCATTATTCTGATACCCCAAATCATTGTTCCGTGTGCCAAAATATCTTCTCTGTGGATGCCTGGACACTTCTGATCATTAGTCTTTATTTAAAAGTATCACAATCATCGTCTCAAGTGCTCAGGTATTTCGGATCGTCATTTTTCATGCGCTTATAATTCTGATCACACACTTTCCTGTGATTAGGTTTTCGACGTGTTTAGAGTATTGTTCTTTATATCCAAGTTCGGAGCGTCTAAATATGCCTGTACTATAGCTGAATTAAAATTATTTGATGATATCAATAAATTAATAATACTCTTTCGTAAAAACAGTATTTTTATTCGCATTCACGTTGGGAATTCATCGTTTCAACTTCGCGAAATTCGACTCTCAGGCTATCTGACAACGAAGTAATGAATTTCCAATGATAATTCCAATACAGCTTTCAGAAAAAACGTATCCTCATCTATCTGTATCACCAAATAAATTTACCTTACCCCTCTTCGCTTACTGCCAATATCATATTTGTATATTATATCGGTATAGCACGAATACGGTTCAAAATGGATACCGTGGGATAAATTTATTTTTGAAACCTTGATAAACAAACATCGAGGTGCAACAACTTTAATCGCTAAATAACTTTGATTTACAGATTCTATCTGAATTAACGTTTTCCACTACGTTTGTTGCATACTTAAATTCTTTACAGATAATTTTTTTAAAAATATGTATATCAATTTGAAAACATATACAATCAAAGGAGTCTTATAAAAGTATATATATCTTAAATTTGAAAAAAAAATAAAATAAAATCGCGTGTCAAGGATTTTAATCAAGGACCTATTTAATCAACAATTGAATTTGATAAAAAAATTTTGTCCGCCAGTGTATATTTGTAAAAATATTTTCAAGAGTACAAAGATTACTGTTCACAGAAGTATTAAAGATTTATACGATTTGGAATAATTGCAATTATCAGAAAAGTCGTAAAATAATCGAGTAAATAAACTACGGGATCAAATGCCTAAGGGTATGGCGTATAAGTATATACTGTGGTAAGCCGCACCATTATTGACATATTTAGGATTAAATTCGTATTGAAAAGAAGGAAAAAATGGGGAGAGAAGAGGGGTTCGCGTGAGTCCCACGGGAGCCGTGGCTTTGTTCCCAGCTATTACTCGCCCCTGCATAACCCTTAGGATATTATTATACCTCCCGACAGGCACCCCATCCCATCCCCTAAAACCACTCCTAAACCCACCGCCGAAGCCACGCTCGTCGTGTTTATTTTATTAAAGTATATCCCGAGAATTGCAAAATTTCTCAAACTGAAATATCTAAATGATCCCAAGAAACTGACTCTACCCCAGCAAGTACAACTACGGCCAAGAATCGTCCTCGTCGCTTTCAGCCGATGAATTTAACAAAATTTGTACTCCGAAGCAACACTTGATTCTTATAACATTACTCTTATGGGAATCCCTAGGAATTCTTTCCTCATACATAAATGAGTATTGCAATATCGAATCAATTTGAAGATATTGAATTACAACTGAACCAGGTTAATCGATTATGTTTTCTACCTGTTATCATTCGATGGTTAATATTTATCTGAAATACTTTTGAAAAGTATTAACTTTTTTACAATATCAATTCAACGATTTCAACATTCCGGCATATACGTAAACTAACGTAAGCTCCCATAATTTTTTGGAAATTAGTGATAGAATTTCCAAATTGTACGAGTGGTAAAAATTATTGTAGGTACTTCGGTTCAAGCGTTTCGATAAATTAGATAAGATTCGAATTATTTTCTTTACAGCGAAGACAATCCACTATGTATATATATTGTATTTAAAAATTTAACACGGCTCGATTAAAAAATTGTAGCTATAAATACTATCAGAGTAGATCGATCTTATACAGATTACAAAGATACTCTCCCGATAGGATTTCACGATAATTTATACAACGGCATTACGAAATAATGTTATTTATAACGCCAAGTTAGGATTTCTAGTTTGCATTTTACTGGACGAACCCGGTCAGACTGCGGGGTATAATAAAGTCCATTGCAGTTGGCATTACGTCAAGTTAGCCTCGTTAGCGGAACTCGAGCTTTTTAAAAAGCCCTCAACGCCGCGGCAGCGGTTGCTTCTGGCTCGTTGAACATGCACCAGTCCTTCCTTTACTTCGCTACTTCCTGAATTGTTCCTTAGCCTCAGGTGCACGTATACCCAGTCATGGTTTACACAATATGCTCTCGTTCAAGACACTTTCGACATTCACCTAACTTCCTACGTGCTTGTTCTTCCTTTATTCCGCCTATTCGCCGTCTATTCCATATTGTCTACATCTTCTCAAAATGTATGCACTCCCCTGTGGTAGATCTTCTTTTCCTGTGTCTTCTGTGCTTTGATGTGAAATTCTGCGAAATGCGACAACTTGAAGTCACTTGAAAAAAATATTATATTCAGTACCAAATGCCAATAAACTTTTGTATGGTGAAGAATGGGTTAAGATAATTTAATTAAGCAACTGCGTAGGATTTTTGGATTCTTCAATATAGGATGAGATCAGGAAGAAATTGTATAACTGATGTAAAATTTTGGCAGGTGTGGTTCCAAAATCGTCGTGCAAAATGGCGCAAGAGCGAGAGGCTGAAAGAGGAACAAAGGAAACGAGAAGGCGCTGGAAGCGGCAGCGCCGGTAGCGTCGGTGGAAGCGCTGGCAGTGCCGGTACTGGTGGAACGACTGGGAACAGTTTGGACGCTGGCGTCCTGGCACCGATCTCAGGAGGTCCAAGTCCTACAGGAGTTGGAGAGACTGAGGTGGGCAGTGGCGAGGGCGAGGAAGCGGGCCCGGAGGGTGGCTCCAGAAGTCCGAGCACGACATCCGCTTCCGTGAGTCCGAGGCCCCAGCAGCCGCAGAGTCAGCCGTCCCTGGGTGGCGTCGCGACGCCCCCGCCGAATCCCATAAGAGCGCCGCCACTTCCTAACAGCACTGTCGGGGGCCTCGGACCCCCTGTCGAGAGGTGAGAGTCGTATTTACGTCTTTAGGAAATATCACTGCCCCTATAAAGCATCCCTCTCTAGTTTCATCCCCCATTCGGCCAGGAGCGTCGCCACTCGACAGCTCCCCCCATGACGACCGGAAGCCTGATACGCGCCATTTAACTCTGCACCCCGACTGTAATCGTCGTAATCGTCGCCTCGTTAACTCGCTGCCTCCCGATTTCGTTTACCACCTAGCGTATATGGACGCTAGATTCCATTTACCAGGAACCTTTTTTGATTTCGTTATTTCACCAAAACTTACGAATTTCCATTCTCGCCCCTTGTTTTTTTCTCCCTCAAAGAGCTCAGAGACCTGGAAAGAAATTTTCTATCTAATAATTTTCCACGTGACGTGTCTCCTCTTAAAACTGTAAAAGCAACATTTCAATTTCACTGCTTATTATAAGATTCCTTTTGAGTAAACGTAGTAGTACATCAAAAACTTACAAGTTCTTTTTCCGAGGGGTTATTCACTCAGGAATTAGGTAAAGAAATTTCCTTGTTTCAAAGATGATTTCCATTGATTTCCATTTTACTCATGGCGACCGGTTGAGGTGCGAAGGACAAATCTGTAGAAATAATTTCCATGTAATTTCCAAATGATTTGCATACTATATTATCCGGTAAAACTAAATTTCACTATTATCTGACTGTTAAAACTAATTTTTATTTCGCACTGTACAACTGCTTCTATTTTACTTGTAAAAAGTGCAATATATATTCTATAGTTAATTATCCAACGTTTCTGAAATCGTTTTCTCGGCATGTATTTTCGTAGGACAGAATAAGGAATCTATTTACTTTGAATGTGCGCGCAGCATCTGTAGCTTACGCAAAAAGAAGAGAACGAGACGTGTGTATCCCGAGGCTAAGTAATTCCGAAAACATAGCCGAAGTAATAGAGAGTTGGGAGGGTTTAGGGCGTAGATTGGAATGAGTTATTATAGAAGGAAGGAGGATGCAAGAAGCATGGAAGGTTCCTCCGACGTCTCTACAGTTGTAATTTATTTAAAACCGCTCGCCGTAAATATATCCCCATCATTTATTCAAGCGCCTCGAGCTCGACTGGGGGAAAGCTTTGCCTTCTACGTACCACGTAACACGTAGAGTATAGTATGTACACCCCTTTGCAAGTCACCTTCCACCCCAGAATCTTCCATGTTCTCCATCCCTTCGAGCTGCGCAGATCCGGCGGTTTAATATCATTGAATTTTAAATAAAGATTCTAATGGATTGTCATTATCCGCTTCGTTCTAGAAGCAGCGGATATATATATTTTTTTTCTCAAGTACACTTACCTTAGCCAGAAAGAACTAAATTGCTTAGTTTACAACTCAAGGATAGGACCACATTCTTGTTATAACTTTCCACAGTACAGAAGATACATAGCAATGACAGATCGTCGCCTAGTGCTAGTCGCCCTTGAGTTTCTCTCTCATTGCTGCCAAAAGAGAATGCGAAGGATTTCTGATCTGTGATTTCTACTAATTTCCATCCTCATTCGATATCGCTGTTTTTATTATCTCCTGGCTTTAAATTACTGCTTACGAATTTTTCCACAAACTGAAAACACTTTATTATTACATACCCAAGTTTTACAGGAATTTGCTAAATCTTGAGTTCTCATAGCATATTCCCAATTCAAAATTCTTTTTAATCTTCGCTCGATACAAGATTATCATTTTTTTTACCCAGTACAGTTCCAATTACTTTACGTTTAAACACGCCTGATTTGTACCCCGTTTAAGAGCCTCACTGATATATTATGGAGAAAGGCAAAACCCTGCGAATCCCTGGGCACATTGTTCTCGCCAATATTAATGAAGCCTAAAGAAACGCAAGGGAATGAATCACTAGTACGTTTGTTTGGGATTCCAATCTGGCCTGGACGCTACGACAGGCAGATACGCAATACAGAGAATTTTCGAGGCCCGGGAGCAAGACTGCCTGAACGCTGTACTGTATGTGAAAACACCTGTACACAGGTATATTCTGTATAATGCATAAGGGAGGTAAGCGCACGTAAGCAGGGCAACTGTATGCCGGGAAACGCGACTAATTGCTGCTAATTATCGCGCTTACCACGGTTCAATTCCCTCCGTCTCCCTACCCACCTTCACCGACGCCCTTACCACCACTGTCACGAGTGACTGAAACACCAGTGACGTCTATGAAACCTCCGACGCCCTCATTGGCCCACCCCAATAGAAGTCGTGTCTCGACTTTACTCTATGTGCCTTGGCCACCCCCATCATCTTCACGACCGCCAACCACATTTCAGTCAGATGCCTCCAGCCTCGTTACCGTTGATTAAACAATATTTGCCATTAATATTTGAGATGATCATCCGCACCTCAGAGTCAGAGCGAGATCCAGGAACCAAGTTGTTTACCTTCTTAATTGGATTATCAGCGCGATACTGCGTATCCGTTAGGCCGATTTAAGCTTTTTCCATTTTCTTCTTTTGCCAAATATGTTACCATTATTGCTCATTTTTTGGATTTGTTTTTTTTTCACGTAATACGCCTGTCGCCTCTTATGCAGAATCTCATAAGTCTTGTTACGGAAGGCTTTACAAAGCACCGCTTCATGTCGTAATTGATACATGCGTGAGATAAAATTTTCGCGGGATTTTCGCGAAAGCATCGATTACGAATATTTTAATTCTTAGAAATATTTCAATTAAAATCAATTAACGTTAACAATATTGTGACAGTTTTTCATTCATTTTTGTATAAATCGCAGTGTGGGTCGGTAAAGAAGTTTGTACAGCGCAAGTGTTCTATTTTCTTAAAATATATTTCAATACGTAGCGAAACGCGTCAATGTTCGTTAGGCACGTCAGAGTGCGATGGTGAAGTTGTTACGGCGAAAAACTAGATGGTACTTCATTATTTTTAATTAACTTTGCATTCTGGCCAAGATGCTTGTACATTAATATTGATTTGAAAGTTTTATCATCGTCGATTACAATATGCTTTCATACAAGCGCTGATACTTAATATCTTTTATAATACGAGTAACCTTATTTTGTTAAAGAATTTTTTATAAATCAAACAAAAAGTTGCCATATTTAAAATTATGCCGTAAAAGGTAAATGATGAATCAGTTTTACAGAAATGTCTGTAAGCATCTGCATCTATGTTGCCATCATACGTGAGTGGTATTGGCTTTCAATGTTAATTATTCAAAAAAGGGTGAACAATTAGATAATCCAATTAACTAATAAATATTTGACATGAAAATATTTAATATTTAATTTTTCCATTTTCTCATACACAGGTACCGCTATGAAAACAGTAAAAATTGATATAGAGTACTTTATAACCTATGGTAATACCAATAATACTGAGATCAAATATAATTTTAAAAGCAAGCTATTTATGTCTTACAGTAGCCCAGGAGCGGGATTCAGGCCAGTGGAGCCACCGACGTCCCTGTTCTTCTCGCCGCATCTTGCAGCTCAATTCTCGCCGCCGTTGTTCGGTAAAATGAGCAGTGGAGGAACATCGTTGACTTCCGGGTCCCCCTGGACATCCAGCGACCACCGAGCAAGCACTCTCCAGGACATGCTGTCTTGGTCGCCAGCCGGTTGGCCTGCGTCCCTTTGCGGATGTTGCAAGCCAGGTAGTGGCGATCTTCATCGAACAAGTAGCCTTGCGGAACTGCGTAGAAAAGCTCATGAACATTCGACGGCCTCGGCTCTTCTCGGAGGCCTTGCTGGGTTTCCCGGCGGGCTTCCGCTACCACTTCCGCTTCCACTTCTGCCACCTTTACTCAGTCTCTCTAGGAGGCCTGAACATCATCATCATCTACCGGCAGTCGTTCATCAAATACAACCCACGAACAAGGATGATCCTTAGAACAAGATGATACCTACACGTCGTGTTCTTAAGAAGCAGAGATAAACGATTCCTCTTGTTTGACTAGATTGTTCTAATTTTATCTTTTTGGAAATTCCTATAGCGACTCAAAATTCGAAGTAAATATTAATACAAGATCTGACCGACAAGAGAGTTTTTTAAATATTTTCCTACGTATAAAAGGTTTGCAGCCGACTAGCACCAGCTGGTACGATCCTTGTGTTCTTTACAATTTCCTGTTTTCCAGTATAAACTCGTCACGATGTAAAATTCATTGAAAATTTAATTTCAACAGTCGCCACCAGGTGGCGACGCTTCACATTTTTACGCTGTAATATTTCAATGTTTTTTTTCGTGAAAAATAAAAAGTACAATGGTTTATGCTAATTAAATACAAAAAAATATTGCCAGACGATTGGCGATCTCTGCTTCAAAAACAAGGGACTTCTTATTTTTAATTTAACTTTAATGCAGTATGTTAATCGTAGTATACGGAGGCACAAGTTATTAGCATGAACCATTCCTGAGGACCAACTTGTGCCTGCTTACACCGTGACAATAGGAATCGCATCCTCGCAAGGAGTAGTGTAGTCGTGCTGTATTTATCGAGTTCAGAACATGCCTGGCTTCGATCGTATTGTCATTTCTCGAAATGGTATCACCGACCACCGTTCCTTTGAGAAATAAAAATCAAATTTTAGACTAACCGTTAAAATATTTGAGCAACAGGAGTCTTCTTACTTAGCCAGTCCATCCAAGATGGATATTCGGAAGAGAACGAAAATTTCAATTTCCAAAACATTATCAACGATCAAACTCCAGGATCCTAAAGATCCTTAGTAAAGTATCCTTAAATGATACACCTGAGAATTCTAAACAAGACATTTTTGCTGTTCGACCATACGAAATAAAATAAAGAATTGGTCTTCGCTGACTATAGTTTCTTTTAATTTTTATATCGAATCCGATAAAAGAAATCCAGGATCCTTTTGAACATTTATGGATTTTGATCGTTCTGTTTCGAGCAAAATCATTTCAATGTCATTTGATCCGTCACAACGATCGTCTAGGACCACGAATTCTGCCAAAGAGTATATTTAAACGAAACCTCGCGTAGAAAAAGCTCTAATTTTAGAGACGTGATAGTAAGTTCTAGAGACCCATGAGAGAGACAGAGAGACGAAAAGAGAGAGCGAGAGAGAGAGAGAGAGAGAGAGAAGAACGTGGATACGAAGGACCAGCTCTCAACGTCAGTACAGGCACGAGGATTCTCTTATCCTAGAACTTTTTACAGAATTTCTGGATAAGTGTGCCTCGACCAGTCTGCCACTTGTTACCGTAACCAAAGCATAGGCCAAAGGACCGTAGAAACTTTATAGTAACCTGTATATTACTCTACGATAATTGTCACTGGTAACATAAAAAAAAATCTAATAATAATAATAATATATACAACATATACATATATAAATAGCAATTATATATATAGCGCACACTATGATAGTTGTACCAAATAAACTTGTTCTCGTGATAAAGGCTCCCCTTATTTGGCGACATTATTTTCCTAATCCAATTTTTGTTCTTTGATTTTAGTTGCAAATTCGCTACGTATTGACATGTGTCTGCCTGCGACTGAAATACTTGTGCAAGGGGCCATCTTTGAATGAGTTTTAAGATAAAAGAGTTTTTTGGACCTGAAATGTTATTCGTGAATTAACTTGTGCTTGTACTTAAAAATTGTTTTAGGCTGTAAAATTCTTTATATACATATATAGGAACAAAAGGCTTGATACTTTCGAACATTCAGATTATAAGTGTAACGATGGCTTATCAATAACGAAAACAGGTAAATGTTCCATCAAACTGTTTCTACGAGAAGAATCAGTATCCCTTACAAATCCATTAATCGATGCTGTGTATCGGTGGATACAGAAAATATTTAGCAAAGCCGCAAATAGAAGGGAGTAATGAAACTGAAATGCATTGCACGTAAATGCCATCGAATTTAAAGATTTAAAGATGATATAGGCTCCGAGCAAGGAAAAAAGAAATCCAGGAGAAATAACCATATTGCAAGTATATTTTTACAACGTTAATATAATATTTGAATATTGCCATTATGTTCTTTAAAAAACAGTAGGCATTTCTGGGATAAGAAAAGAAAATGAATATGGTCTTGTGCCATCGTAGTGCGTTAATCTGTAACAGGGCAGGAACGCGTAAGGGAGTAAAAGCGAGCTAGAAGGAGAAGGAATGCAAAAACCAAAGTAGAGAGAGGGAGAAATATATATGATAAAAAGTGAGGGAAGTAGCAGAGGTTGGGTAGGTCACTGAAGCTGGGAAGGAAGAACACAAGAAGGGGTTGTTGGCAATCAATGCTTCTCATAAGAAAATTTCGCTCTCTCTTATGGAATCATCCCTCTTCCAGGGGTTGCGTCGTTGAACGCGGGGTTGGTCCGGAATGGGCCAATGGGAGGAAAGACGCCATTGATCGGCACGTGGCTCCGGTTGGTTCAGAAGCGAAGGGGGGCGATGGAGGGTTGAAAGGAGAAGAGGGTAGGGAGTCGAGAAAGTATAAACCGAGGGCGAATGCCTAGAGGAACGAGGAGAGGGCATCGCTGGAGCTGCAGAAGGGGTGGCGGCAGACGCGTTCTCTGCACACTCCGTTACACTTACTGGTAAACCGTATTAATCAAGAACATCATGGTTTATTCTCCCACTCTTGATTCACCTCTCCCCCCCCCAACCACCCAACCACCCAAACCGCTCTTGTCTACCCACGAATCCTGTAGACTTTCTCTCAGCACCTCACCCCTCCGACTCCCCGCCGACAACCTAACCTCAATGTAAAAGGGTAGATGGTGGTGGTGCTGGTGCTGGTGGTGGTTGATGAGGATGCGGTGGGGGTTGAAAAGACTGAAGGAAAGTGGGCGCCAGGCCACTTTGCCCAAGACGATTGACTCTTAACGCTGTCGATATTGCTTACTTTTACTAGACGTCTCACTGAAATATACATGACTTTGGCATTCTTGTTTTCTTATTTATTAACGAAAACCTGTTTAGGCATTTTCATGAAGGCGCAATTTTTTCATTGGGTTCTGATAGAACCAAGAGTCGGCTTGTTAAATTTTTGTTTTTGTGTTACTGATATTTGTATGTTTTGAAATTTTACGAGAACAGCAGATATGCAATGAATAACAAGACAGCGATTACTGTTCGCGTCATTTTATCCCAATGAAAAATTCTTTCTATGCTTATTCCTCTTTCGTGTACATATTCCGATGATAAGGTAACTCAATTGTGTCTCTATTTTTGAAGTCACTTCAAAGCTCATTTTGTCATGTGAACTTACAGGATTATTCTATCGAAGACGCTGCTTATTAAAAAATCTTAAGTAGGATAACAAAATTTAATAAAATTTATCAATTCAATATCATTTTATATGTTATTGATTATTTACTATATTTATAATAGCCGGCATCTAGCCTCGGCTTATCTGATAAAGGAATGCAGATCAAAGTTGGATTATCGTTGACTTTTTACAAAAAATTGAAAAAATATTTATATTATACAAAATCTAATTACTATATGAATTTGCGATTCGTTTTAATGTGCCTATAGTAATGGGCTATTTTCTTACCGTTTTGTAAAATATATTTAAGTTCTAAATTTCAAATATGAAAACATACGCATACATATATGATTTCCGCATAAACTGAACAGTCTTGAATGAAACTTTTGTAATCAGATATTCCTTTTATTCAACAATGGTATCGAGATGAACACTGATATCTACGTGCATAATGAAATAGAATGAAATGAAATAGAATGATACTAAACTTGAAATACAATAAAAATTTAGTTTCAACTAGATAATACTATTGATATAACATATTTTAATGTATGCAAATACTTTTTCATCACTAATGCGTAGATTAATTTATACAAAAAATAATGTGTCAATATTCTATATGATTTTTATAAAATGCTGTGAGATTCATCGGCATGAACCGAATGATCTTTCCGATGGAAAAGAGCTGTTCGCTGGATCTGTTGACATCGCAGGACTCTACATATAGTTGGAGTGCAAGATTGGTATTTTTTGAAAGGCCACTTTCTTATAGGTTATAATGTAAAAGAGTCCCCTGAATAACGCACTGATGTCACAGACAAACTACAGCGTTCATAATACGTCATCCTTAATTTGCATTTTTATCCATACACACGCATACACACATGTGCACATATTTTGTAATCACAATTTCATTGTAATCGCAATCAATCGATTGCACGAAACACTCCGACATATTTTATGCATTCATACCTAAAAATTAGCGTTAATACACATGTATGGTATACTAAATTAAAACTGTCTTATAGGGTTAAAAATCCGCAGGTCGTGCTTACATAAAAAGTTGGATAGCTGATAAATTTCAATACATAAATCTTCCGATTTCATCATAAGTGATACTCTGTAGTCACGCTCCGATATGACTTCTACTTTGAAGGGACTTATATACGTTTCACTTCGTAAGAAGATGGCCCCACAAAGTGGAACTGATGTTGTGTTTCGACTATAGTGTAAAAACTATAGTGTAAGAACTTTAAATGATATCGCATATGGAAAAATTTTATCAGTGAAAATGACTACATAATTTTAGCGATCAAGGAACATGTCATCATTTTGAATGAATCTACTATATATTTCCCTTTCTTAACAGTGTTACGTAAAATTATAATTTTAATATTCGAATACAATAATCTTTATGCATAAAGAGTTTAAGAAGTTTAATTTATGCATTTCTCCGAAGAATATTTATCTTATTGATAATATGTTTTTGCGATCACTGTATTAGTGTCTTATAAAATATCAAAGTTACGTCTGAGGTTACTAATACAAAAATTATCATGAATTTTAAAGTATTTAAATTCTTTGAGGTGCCGAGACAACACGGCCCTGAGATCCGAGAAGCGAATGGGGTGCGAGGAACCGGTAGCAGACGGTGATTAATTCCATGACGTCGTCTTGTCTCGTTCACCCCTAACTCCCTAGTCCTTGCTCTATCCCACCCACAGTAAAAGGTCTTATAAAATTCATTGTCAGCTAATTTACATATCAAAGCTCCTCCTCGGTCCTGGAACACCCTGCAGCCAACCTCGTCGTTCCTCTTCGTCGGATCCCATTCCAACAGCCAAAAATTCTCTGATGGAATTAATAAATGTGTAGGCACTTTGCGGCAAGATGAGTCGCGAAAAAATAATTATTCACGGAGATAATACCCCTGAAGATTTGATACTTTTGCTTTTTCATATCCAACCTAGCATAACAACGTATATTGATAGCTTAAAAATTAGCTTAGGTCAAAATTATTGAATTAATAATTTTAAGCATATAGAATAAATTTAATTTGTTTTTTCAACATAGTAAAACATTTTACTAGCCATAAAACTACGTTTACCTATATCATACAAAAAATGTACTCACTGAGGGTTCCTGCTAATACAGGTAGTTGAATAAAATTAATTAATATTGTTATGATTTTTGTATTAATATTTCAACCTGATTTCAGCACCGATCCTTATAAATAACTACATCTATTATTGGCATCTACGTGAAGTGATGCATGTGGCGCCCGATGTGTTTTATAACCGTAAATTCAATTCAAAAGAGCTCGGAGGTATGGAAAACGAAGTAATACCCGGATAAGGGTTCCTCCTGAGGGATAGGCGAATCCTGAAAAGCCGACCTAAGGGAACGAAAATTTATCGAGCTTGTCTGGCGAGACTAAGGGGATCAGGGGGCGCAATGATTTTCAATTTTCAAATCCACTTTCCTTTCTTCAAGCATTTCACGCGAAGTTTAATGAATGTGATCGAATTTCACGAGGTCGAAAAGAATTCGAATGAGATCGCTATGTCAAAGAGTTACGTAGTAACTGTAGCCACTACCTGAGTAAGGGAAGATAATTCAATTTTCATTGGTCGATTAATTCGCCACGGATTCAATCGTACAAAAACAAGCGCTAAGCTGATTTACCTGGAACATTACGAATCGTCGAAATTTTTAAAAATAAATCCAGAGGTAACCTTGAATTTACCACCTCAGAATACAGTCAACCTAACAGGAGACCCCGAGTCAAAAAATAAGTCTTGTCCCTATACTGTTTCGTTCTTCTTGGCATTATAAGTTCTGTTTCAGTCCGAAACGTGAAATAAAAAGGCCTAAATCCGGACAAAAAGTACGAGATCAGACCCATCAGGACTTATTTGTCGAACGACCAGACCCAGATCAGTTTGAGGAGAACGAAGAGAAACCCATTAGGATCTAAGCAGTATTTCTTGACACGGGATTTAAAACAAGATCAATTTTACTGTTCTATTAAATTATACGACCAGTTGCCCTTTGCCGTTTTTAATAAAATTATTAGCATATTTACTAAGAACACTGTACGGTAACCTAAAATCATGCAACTATTCCATGACTACGGATGATTTGAAATCTAAATCTGGAATGAATCAAATATGAACACGTTTTCATGGTACTCGTATAAAAAGGTATTTCTTAAAAATATTGTCCAGACTATGAATTGTGCAGACGCAGAATATATGTATGGCTTCGAGTAAGCTGTACCCCACTGCCTTTTTCCACTCATAAATTTTTAAATCCTTACTCTAGCTTTGCCTTGTAACTTCTGTCGTTGTTTCAATAAAAGTTGAGCCAGGCAAGACTCAAACTGTTTAAAGATTGAGACAACTCAGTCCCAAGCTTCTGGGATACAACAATCTTTTATTTTCGTTTCCAAGTCCAACTTTCTCTCAGCGTGGTTCATTATTTTCATAACAATAATGTATTAAAACTATTGGCGTTAAGGATTTTCTCATGTAAACAAATTCTGACAAGATAATTGTACATCCAGCAGATTATAAAATGGAATTACTGGAATGTTTATACGACAGAGGCAAAGCATAGAGGCTTTCGTAATTTCACGAAGCTTAATTGGAAGCAACGTCAGCGACATAACTAGCCTTTTAGCGTTTACAGTCAGTTCCGGAAAATTTATTAAATGATTTATTTAATGTTTGCTCCCACATGCAGCTACAGGATGCACGTATTGAACGCGCCGTCCAGGGTGGCTACTCGCTGATCGCAGCCCCATAAATCCAATACCAACGACACCACGGACACTACCAACAGTTTCACCACCTCCAGCCTTCTACACACCATCCCTAGAACCCTTTTTACCCCGTCCACAGTGTCGCCCAGCGGCCACCAATTATTCAGCAAATGTTATAATTGGCGCATTCCATTACGCGTAATGGATCGCACTTAGCAGCTAGCAGTGTGATTGGTTGGGTGTTTCAAAGAGAGAGATAGACACACCACAGCGGAAAGGGGGTTAGTTCAATCTCAATAATACTAAAGTAGCGAAAGATAGGAGCTAACGCTCAATGTTCTTATTAAAACAATTCTATGCTATGTATCATACTGTTTAAATAATATTGGGTATTACTATATCAAGCGGAAGCTATAAATATTATATTAAATATAAAAACAGATAGTTTTCATATTTCTAATTCGCAGGCTCCACTATTTTATAAATTTAGCCATCATATGAAATACAATTAATACATGTACATTTCTTTCATAAAATATGATTTGAAGAAACTTGGCGATCCTGCTCTTTGGTCCATCTTTATCAACTTTACCATATTATATAAAATTAATAAAAAGAAAAAGTTCCACGTAAAATTTAACTTACAGTAGCAATCAGCCCTTAAGCATACAGCAAACAGTGTCGATGACGTTGAAGCGAAATAACAATAACTCTGTTATTAATTTCCGCTATGATTGAAATAAAATTTTTAAAAATCAATCACGCCTATGCATGAAGATATTTTCCAAAGCAGTTGTAGTTAAGCGAGTAACAAGCGAGTTGCAGTTGGATAAATCAACAATTTGCTCATAAGTCACAGAGAAAGGCATCGCACGCACAGCAATTAGTGTGATGGCATAGAACGGATGAGCAGAACAGGACCATATCGTATTGTATCGTACATATCGTATCCAGCTACAGACTCAGGTGCGCTCCGAGGCCGCTATTGAATTTATAATTCCATTAGGGACGCCTTCTCAGAACTATATTCACGCTCTGCGTGGAGCCACGTGGCACGCACCCCCGCCATATTGTTTCACTGACACGTGTACCCACCCTAAATGTCCAACAGATAACGTTCGCGAATGAAACACATCCGTGTATATCAAGTCACGGGAATTAATTCCATGACAGTTTGAGTCATCAAGTACTTTTGCCATAGTCATACAATCCAGTCTCTTACGATTTATTACACTACATTTATTTCCTATTGAATTTCATGGATTGTCAAATTTTTACAAAGTCCCAAAGTCATGATCGTTACTATTTCTTTAAATAGAAACAGAGCCATAGCCATTTTTTAGGTAATAATTTTTATGATTTTCTCGACTATTTTCTTACCTTTTGCCTCATTACAATTTCATTCGTCGCTCATTTCAATTGTGTAGTAAATACCAAAACTCGTCCGCGTTCATTAAAAGTATGCATACAGTATACGTCTACGTTTTATTTTTTAAGTATCCTTGTCGTTTCGTAAGTTTAAATCCTGATCTCATTATCGTTAAACACTATTCCTCTGCTGACTAACGAAACCGCTTTTCCTTCTTCGCTCAATCAATACGGCTATTAAATCCTTACAGCTTAACAGATCTAACGGATCGTTTAGATATTTAGTGCGTGGTAATGGAAAGGCAATGGGCCTCTATCGTGCCTATCTTTCCTTGGTGAATCCGTGCATCAATGTCGAATCGCAGGGGCGGAGCACGCGTATACATTAAGCAAGTGCAAGGGATTGTGGACAGCCCGGAAATGTTTATAGGGCTACTCGGACGCACCCTTCGAGGGAGCCGAGTCCACTCGAGTAACATTACCGGTTGCTTTATTCAACTTATTGACAGAAGCCGCACGTGCCGGGCCTGCCAACCGTACCGTTACGATTATGTTATTGTTGTTATGCGTGGCGTTACGTTGCGTTACGTTTTCCCCGGACGCAGCATCTTCTCCCTTCATTAAATATGCACGCGTGTAAATGTCAATTTATTCATATCAAAATGTCAGTGATCATAAAGTGGTAGGAGACGAGATGTTATCTCGCGCATGGAAATTTTTTATATTTTTTTAGGGTCCCTGGAAATTATTGCCACTCTTGGACCGACTGATGTGAAAAGAGAAAATTTATATTATTTCGATGAGTTGTGCACCTTCAGTTTTCGCATATCGTATAATGCTTCTGACTACGGATAATACAAAGATTTTTCTTAAAATATAATCGTGCGCTGGTTTAATCACCATTATGACGTACCAGTGGATTTCAACAAAAACTTGTTTTCAGTTTGTACGTTCTATACGCAAAATCAAAATTTGTTATTTTATTAAATATGTTGCTCTGATTTTGTATCCATATGCTTGTGGAGCGATGGCGTCACAATGAAATGAAGCTACAATCGTTTTCTTAATTTTTTCAATTATTCTAACAAATAGTAATTATTCTAATAAATAGTTGGGAGAGTCAGTAACTCCGAACGGTCAGGACACATTGTGACAAGGAACCTGAGTAAGCACCATTTAAATTCCTCGTGTACAGTCATTTGTAAAAAAAAGGGAAAAAAAACAGATAAATGAAACAGTGCTAATCTGGAAAGATAAGAAAATATTTTTTTTTAAATTTAAAAAATTTAATTTCTAAGTTCACCTTACACATTCGCATAAACGTCCTTATAAAACTATTAAATAGCAACCTGAAACAATATGAATTTAATCAATATCAAGATCCAATTCTATTTGAATCACTCGTGTCATATTAATTTAACTGCTGAAGACATTTTCTTATATTGTTATTATTATAAAATTTAATATAAACAAATATTTTGAATTTTTAGCCAGAATAGTTATGTACATAAAACATTACATGATATTTAAAATCACAAGAGATCTCTCATTAATACTGTACGACGCACTGCGTTACTGAATCCTTCCTTATATTTGTACCATACACGATTTCTATTAACCATGTCTTGTAATCGAGCCGCCCTCGGTGAAATTTTGTTAGCAGATTGTTGTTGGCGATCATTGCTGATGATTCTTCCGAAGAAATCCCGACATTGCTATAAAGAAAACAAAATAAAATTGACTATAATCCTGCAAATCGAGTTATTAACGATATATATAAATAATAAAAATAACTTTTAAATTAAAAAAATCAATCGACATAAATATATTACGTCATCGTACCATCGTATAAATTGATCGACCTATATATTATGTGGTATTAAGGTACAATAAGATTATTGAGTATTAAGATTATTCTAAAGATAAGGATTATTAACTTTAACAGTTTAAAATGATGAAATTTTTTAATATTTTGATCGAGTCGTTTCAATTAAGAGCTCCTACCTTAATGGACATGAAATTGCATTAGGTCGATTTCTGAGAGCGAGCCAAGATCGAGTGGAGGGTGCACCAGGAAATTTCAGAAAAAAGAACAAGAAAGTAATGGACGCAGATCGGGCGTACGAATGATAGAATGAACGATGGGAAAAACACTATTAATCATGGGAATGCGAAGAGTTCCAGCATCGTACGACTTACTACCTAATTTTCTTATTGGCTATCATGGGACCACGCAGAGTCTGTTTTATCGGCAGGTTGGAAGAGGATGGTAACAAAGTCCAAGTAGGTGTAGGAAGGTAGATGCGTAGATATACAAGTAAAACTGAAGCTGATGAGGCAGAAGGCATCTCAAGAGCTAAAAAGGACGGGACGAGATGCAAGAGGTCCAGAGCAGTGGAACGGACGAAAGTAGAGATAAATGAAGAAAGGGCGAGGGGGGGAGGGGGAGATAAAGAGGGAAAAAATCAGCTTTTATTTGCCGGGAACGTCGTTAGGGGTAAATGGAGGACCGAAGGGTGGCTGGACGCAATGGCGCCCTCGAAGCAACCTCGGCTCAACGTCCCGTTAGTTTCTCCCTTGGGAATATTGGAAAATTCATAAGAAGAAAAAGACTCGAGACGTCTGCGAAGAAAAGTTTAATAAATTGGCTAAAAATGAAAAATTATGCCAATGTCTGACCCTTTGAAAATTGATACCACCCAGATTTGCGGAACGGAAGACTAACACTTGAAAAGTATCAAGGGTCTTATCACAATAGCGACGGCCCTGGCGAGTGGGGCCATTACCATCATAATGGTGGACCTCGAGGGCGGTGCGGCCAGATTGCGACGTCCGGCGTCCCGACGCTGCAAACGCCGTCATCCACCGCCCCTGCGATTACGTGCCTTTACAAATACATTCGCCTTAACCATCCTCACTAGCGCATGCCATCTATCCTCTCACAGTCCAGAAATTTCTAGAACCCCTAATGCAGCCGCTATTACGACGTTTTCACGAGGCAGGACCTCTCGGAAACGGAAACGGAAGCTGTGCCATCCATGAGCATTTAATGCTATTTTATGCGACTTGATGCGCTACTTCTCCCTTCCTGTGCTACATCGCCCCCTGTCGTCTTCAAGGAAATTAATTTGGATTTAAGTCAGGTCTTTGGTTTCATATAATACGAGCCATTCAAATATGGCACGTCCTCTTGACTTATCTGAAGAAATCTTGACAACAACAAAATATTATCAAACTTTTGCTTCGTGTATACAGATACTCAATGCATATGATAACAAATAATCCCAATATTTTTTATAACTAGAAATGATAATGTAGATATCATATATTTATATATTCGCCTCTGCCATAAGCAGCAATATCAAAATTCCTTGACCAAAAGTTATACCTTTGAAGACCAAGGCATGGAAAGTTTGATAATATAGAGAACTTCTAATACAAAATAGTTCAAAATACAATTCCCAAAATTGGACCGACATGATAGTTCTGTTATTGACAACTTTCTGAAAGTTTAAAATACAAAAAAAATATTTCGACACTTGATGTCTCATATAGAATAGAATTAGGTAAAATCATACCACCTATTTCTATTTTTTACAGTACATTGACTTGAATACTAAAAAACTTAAAACCAGAATGGTGAATCCATCCATTTTCTAAATAGAGCCACATGAAAAGGTACACAAGCGAGCAATAATGGCCTCCGTGTTCATAGCGTAGTAGCATTGATTTACAATAGTATTTTGAGACGACCATTTTCACTCCCCGCTCTACCAAACACCCGGAACCCCACTGTCTCAAAACTTTCAAGTGGTACGAGCTAACAGTCATTAGCATGCGTTCATGCAGGAAGGTCGATTGTTACAAAGTAAATTTGTGGCGGGTAACCTCGTGATAAAAAAACAAGTGGATGATAACAATGGTACAGGGGTGTTAGACACGCACGCGTACAAGTTACTCGCAATCAGGTGCATGAGCCGGATAGATGCTAACCGAGGGAGCAAGGGAACGAGAGAAGGTATAAGGTGGAAGGATGGCGAGAGAGAGAAGGCCGCAGATGTAAAGAGGGAGAGAGAGAGAGAGAGAGAGAGAGAGAGAGAGAGAGAGAGAAAGAGAGAGAGAAATAGGGGTAGGTATAGGGTGAGCGTCCCGGAGGTCGGGCTATCATAATATAGATTAGCTCATATGGCGCTCCCCTTGTGTTAGCTCGGATCTGGCTCATAGCCTCGAGTGCTCCGGGATTCACTATTCATACACGCGACAATTAGATAGGCATTACTCCGTATATACGGGGAGGGCGGCACGACGGAGTTGGCTCGACTGGGAACCAACGAGAGGGCTGGCTTGAGTCAACCCCTAAGCCAGTGTAAACACGCTTTAATAGAGATTCGCTCGAGCGGTTATAATAGCCTTGCGGATGTACCAGCCCGTCCCGTTTTGGTACCCCGTACTCAACGCTCCTGATCCCTGACTCTTTGCTTCTGGCTACACTGAATTCCTCCTTTTCGCAAACCTTTTTTCCCATTTTCTACCATCTTGCTGCTTCACACATCTCATTCCTTTTATAATGTTCTTCTCGATTCACTCTCGTACTTATTGTTTGGAACATTTTCTTTTCTTAACTGCATCTTAGTTTCTTTAAGGAGATTCCGGCAACTGTTACCTGTATTGCAGTTGCGAAGGCATATTCTCAGTAAAAAATGTCATCGGCGAATAAACAGTATTAATTTGTATTGTGAAATCCTTAAGCACGTTGTAATCCTGTCATTTGAACAGATGCAAATGGAATAAGAATATGTCAAGCAGTAGTACAAATTTTCTTAAGGTATTACTACGGTAAACTCAAAACCGCGTAATCGAGCTGAAATTTGTTTTACGTCTAATTTGTATAGCAGTACATCCCTCTACATATTTTTAACACGATTCACGCATCCATTTCCGAGTATTTTCGAGTTAAAGTCAGGACTCGTAACACGTATTCCCTATACCTGGCCAATAAAACGCGCATGGTTTTTTTTTTATTGCATTTGACTCGTCCGCGTAATTCCGATGAAAAACTAGTATGTGGCAAAGGAAAAAATTAGGAATTTTTTAGATTTTTAGTCAGAACTTTTTACTCGTAGGATTTATTGATAGACATGAAAGAAGTCGATATTTATTACGAAATCTCTCGTACGACGGCTGACAAGAGAGCGTCAGTGTATATACGTATACACTGCTACATCCACTGTGAGACCGTGCCCGATGCATATACCTTTTCGGTCCGTAGTAATACCTTAATGATACTATTTGATTTATATAAGTTCAATAAATTTTAAGGCATTAATAGGGTAATACATCTTTTGTATGTTCATGATCTGCCAATATATTCAAGTCGATAGATAAAATGACTGAATAGCACGTATTCCGAATAAAGCAGAATATTTAATAAATAGAAAATATACCAAAGTATTGCCTAGAAAATATTAACGTGATAATAATATAACAGTAAACCTGTGACAACTAATTTCAATAAGCGTGTACCTCGGTGAAGAGAAAATGAGGAAAAATTGGTCCAGAATTATTGTAATTAATTAAGAAAGACAGATAGACATAGACAGTAAAAAGACAGTGTGGAATATGATGAGTCTAATAACTTTGTTCGCTGTGTAATTAATTTTGATTAAATCGTTGTCACTTGATGATTTATCGTCCATATAGCTAGTAGCGTAATGGGAACAAATGGCAGTGAGTTATTGCGCTTCGGGGAGTTGGTCAGAGATTAATTTACCGAAATTCTCGATCGTAATCAAAGCTGAGAGGTGCGTATCTCTCTCGAAAACGTGTTAACAGCTTAAAATTATTCAAACAATGTAGCGAGCTCAATGATGAACCGTCTACAATTAAGGGAATTGAAATTCCAATTGGAAAGTACATTTTTGAGGACTTACCATTTTCTCTGGCTGCGGGACGACGGGTTCCAATTTCTTATGATGATTCGCTACACTTTTTACTGCGTTTGTAATTTCTGATGCTTCTTTTAATTTTTCTGTTGCCTCGATATTTCTTCTCTTTTTATCAGTAGCCGTAGGAGTTGACACCAATTTACTTGATCCGCTGGTCATCCTTTCGAGTCTTTTTAATCTTTCCATTTCATATTCCTGAACTACGATTTGCTTTACTGCATATGCCAAACTCTTACGTTTCTTACAATCAGGGAATAGTCCGATTTCCAAGAGATTTCTGGTTAATTAAACAGTTGAACATTAATGATCCACGTTGGATTATTGTAGAGCATTTTAGTTTGCTAATTCATATTTAACCTCTCGACCACAGGACGCCTTTGTATACGCGGAGAATGCATTGCTACACTTTAGGTACTTGTTCAAATTACTCATTCAAATTCACTAAATATATTGAAAATTGTTAAGCTCAAAAAAGTGCGGCGATCTAGAGGTTAATGATAGCTCAAATATGATTTTTCCACAAAAGAAACTGCATGAAAAATATTCATACTTACGGCTCAAAATTGTACTCGTAGCTGCCATCTGGATTTTTTTCTTGAACCAGTGCCAATCCAAGATCTAGCATAACGTTGACAAGACGTGTAAGTTCTGCCTTTTCATTACTAGAATATAGATGACCAGAAACAGAACGAAGCCTTGGTGTTAAAAGTTCGGATAACAGTGGACAATAATCAATAGTAAGCATTGAAGTCTCTATGCCTGAAACTCGATGCACCGTAGCTAAAATCGATTGATTTTTAGCCAATTTCTGGTTTACCTAAAATCAATTCAAAAAAAAATCTTTTTTAAATCTAGTCAAACTTCCTTACAAGATATAGGATCTAAATATATATATATATATAAATATGTCAGGCGGCAGTTTCCAGGCCATGCGGCGTTCACAACAGCAAGCTAATGTTTTTTAAAAAAAAAAAACTAGACCTTGGAACATGTAGCATTGGAATTCTAACGTAACCTAACCTAACGAACATCTTCTTAGCCCATCACAACTCGGAGTGTCCAGCATAAAAAATTTGTTGGAAAATTCGGTGTGAGTGCCGCCAAATGGCTCTGGAAGTATACGTTACATATAGGATTTTTCCAGGTCCAGCCTGGAAAATACCAAAAGTCCTCATAACTGCCAATACACAACAAAAAAGGTCTTGGAAACCACTTTGTGAAATATTTATACATATATAATTTACTTTCTGGACACATTATTATTATTATTTCTGTACTATATACCTATAGCCTCATCCATTTTTATCGTAAGAATTAAGAATGCAAAGTTGCATCTCAATGATGTGAAAAAAAGTAAAACTTAGTATGAGATTCATTCGAGTTTTATTGACGCGCGTGGTATTGGAAATAGAAAGAAAAGGAAAGAATCGACAACGCGTAAAGAGGAGTCTAAGTAAAGACAGGCAATTTTCAAAAGCTGATACTACGACGAACAAAACAGCAAGTTCCGCCGTATCACAGTGCAATTATCTTAGTGAAAATGAGCTTCACATAGAGGAAAAGAGTATGCGTGTTAATAGACGTGAAAGTGGCTGCGGTCTCGTAAAGATTCTTTGAAACTCAAGGTAGCAGAATTTTAGACAAAATAAAATGTAGCATTATAAAATAGCAAAAAGATTAATAAACAATTATACGATATTAAGAAAACTTGATTAATTTGTCGAAAGTATACATATGTTCTTGTAAAAAAAATTGAAAAAATAATTTTCGATTTACGCATCTTCAAATGAGATCCAAGTTGTCGGACTTTTGAAACAACTCGATAGTATATTATTTTACAAAATTCCGGCACGTTCCAAGAGTCCAGATAAGCGACAAGTGTATAAAGATATAAGGTCAGACGGGAAACTCTTACGTCTGCAGAGAGTGAGCGCCAAGAGGATAGAAAAAGGGGGTAGGTGGTATCACTGTGGGGGTTCTCTAAGCTGAATAATTCAGGCTCTCATTAGGGCGACAAAAGCACCCTGATGGATAGCTGCTTGGCTCCTCTTGTCGGGTACACGAGACTGTATATAGGTTGTGTATATACGTATAAACGTATATACGTATGCGAAGGTGGTATAGGTATACGCGGATGGCAAACACCAGGACTCGAACCTCGCTTTGTTTTATTTCGAATGTTCTTTCATTTCTTAAAAGGTTCTCCACTGATAATTAGCACAATGCGCGGCCGCATTAATTATTACCCGTACTAATTACCCGAGGATAAATCGCTTGGAGAAGGGTTTGAGGGCAGGGAGAGTGTCTGCGAGCCCATTACCGTTATTGCTGCAACAAACCGTCCAACAACAGCGATAAATACTGGCGACATTACAAATGTCCCTCTGAGTTATGTTTACCTGCTGGACTGTTCGTAACTTGTGACTCGCCAAGAATTACCTACACCATGAATGAGGCTTGGGTTTTAACTGTTACAGCTTCCTGCAAACTTTATGCGGACTTCTCGTCATGCCTTTTTCGCCTTCTCAATGGAATTATTTGAAATTGTATGAAAAGCAATTTCACGGATTAAGTTTCAATGTACATTTCGCGCTAGAACTAATAAACGTAATGTATCTATATTCCATTCACAATTTAGGATTTCGTTTAGCTGCTGCTATTTCTTGTTACACAGTCTCTGCTAGAACTCAAAGCATGTGAAATATTCGCAACTATTTAAATATGAAAACAATTAAATCAGAGCTCAAGTATTTTTACATATACTTTGTCGTTTTGTCAGTATATAACGTCGATACCTATACTTTTATTATTTCTGAATTAGTTAATTAGATATATAAAATAAATTAGTTATCTCTACTTGAAACTGGCACTTGCTTCTGATTTAGTTGTTGAATTTTACGTAAATAAATCACATTGATCATCGAAATCCTTTGAAAAGAAAGACCTAGCAATTTTTATATAGATTTATATCACTAAAATAATAAACGTTTTCATAAAGACAGCTAGAAAGGGATAAAAGTCAAACATACCTCATACATGACTGAGGGATATGACAATTGTATGTTGTTGTTGGCGGCAAGATTGAAATGCCACGCAACAAAAGCGTAATTAGCATAAGGCATAGCGCTCCAGATTTGAGTATTCATCACAAATGTTGTAATTCTGTCGAAAAACTGAAACCATTGAAGTGAATCGGATAGACGAACTATACTGTTATTCTGTATTTGTGGATAATTGTGAAATATTCCTAGAGCTAAACGATTCGTTTCACCTGAAAAAGAGAAGAAGAATGTAAACAAATTCATCAGAAACAATAAACATATCTCTCTTCAGTCGTGTACATTAAATTAGATAAAGTGACACAGACCTTGAAAAATTAAATACTGAAGTAATAAATAATCATAATTACATATAATTACTCCATAAAAGATAAATGAATATACCACTAATTTGATAGATTTGATTGATAGATTAAATCATGACATGCTTCTTAAGAAACTGCATATGTCGGTAAACTTACTATTGAATACAACTTTTAAAATCCTTTCCATTCTCTCTCTAGCTGGAATTACTCTATTTCTAGCCCAAGGAACTTGAAGAATTTCTTTCCAAGAATCAAATAATCCTTTCTTCGTATCCTTGAAGACTAAATTGAAAGTGTTTCCGGATTTTGCACCTCCCATATACTGCAATGCTCCAAGACAGGTACGAACGTCACATCCAGATTTTTCAGCCAATTGCAAGAGTGCATCCGCATCGGCTCGTATGCATTCTTTGCGCGCTATTTCTCCTAAACGTTCTGCTAATCTCGAGGCACTTACTTCTGGAACTTGAATAACGAGAGCTGCCATTCGTAAAGCTCTGGAACGAAACATTTACTTTTGTTCAATTATAAATTTTTCAACATTTATAGTTTCATCAAATTATATGAAATTAATGAAGATTAATTTTAATCAATGAAGGAAGAGCCTAAAAATATACAGATTCTGGTCTGTCCATGTATAGTTGTGAAATTATGCAGAATTTTAGGCCATATGATACTGACAAGGATGATACCTCAGGTGTCGTCCTTCGACTTCGTTAGCTTTTAAATATGTTATTCTTCATAAAAATTTAAGAGATACGTATTTTTTTATCGGCGGTAAAACGATTTTAGGGGGTGAAATCAACCCCCAAAATTGGGTTCCTCGAAGGTGGTTTTCGCAGTTTTGCATATTTCCAGTCGAGATATTTAAATGAGACCAATTGGAGAATAATCCTCATTATGAATAATGAAAAATGCATTTTGATCGGTTCTGGTGGGGTGAATGCATAAAAGTTTATAAAGGTTAAAGAGTGCGACATTTTTAGAATAAAAAAAATATCGATTCGATTTTTATGAAACCAATTGCATTTGAAAGTACTAAGAAAAGTAGGAGATGAATGTTTTTATTTATTCGGAAAAAACGTCATTTAAGGGGCGAACCACCCCGATGGTGGTGCAACCAATTTCTCACTAAAGCGGCACTATCTTGCTTCAATTTACTTTCACAATTATTAGAAAGTTCTTTTTATGTGTTACTTAAGAAGCTTAATCGTTTCAATAACGTTCGGTTGTACATTAACTAGAACCACACCTTCGTTTTCTGACGCCTCTTATATTCTAAGAGTTTTGGAGGTAACTGAAACGAATTTTGAACTTTAAATTTTGAAATTCACAATACCAGATACTGTCAAAATGCAATTTTTCAATTGTTATGGGAAGAGGTAACTACTCTTAAACGCATTTTATTACGATTTTATGTTAGTATGTAATTTTTGCTAATTTTAGCAAATATTTCAAACAAGTATGCAGTTTTTTCAATAAATATGTTAACCAAAAAATATTAAAATTATGAAATATATATGTATAGGGTATGACAATGGCTTGTAAAAACTGTTTTTAGAAAGCAATCAATCATGACCGATCTCATAAGTTTGCTGAATACCAGTGTAAAGAAATAGCACCACATATAGTTATTAAAATCAAAGGATTATTTTTTCACACTTTATATATTATCTTTGGCTTACACGTTACAATATATTCCAGAAGGGAAAATTCGATGAAAGTAGATTAGCCAAGTGTGATTTTGCAAAAACATTTTAAACTATTGTAACTCGAAAGTATCAACTTCAATAGGCTTAGTTAATACTATTTTTTTCATATTTAATTACTATCTTTCTATGTAATGTGTTTAAAAACTACTAATTAAAAAGAAACAATGTACAGTAGTTTTAAAAACAAAAATAGTTATCCACAATAATTGTTTACCAATATAATTCAAAAAAATAATTTAATAAATAATTCATTAGTGTAATAATCAAATTTGTGTGCTGTAGTGCAGTTGAAGGTCCTAGTTTAAAAGAGGGCTTATTACAGCAATTTTTAATAAACGCTAACTCAAACTAGATAGAATGAAAAAATAAAGTATCATAGTATTTATATTATTCTATTTTAATAGAAATACCTTAAGGATGGTGTATACAATTCGTTGCAGATGCAAATAATTGGTCGCCGACAAGGCTCCTCTCCTTTCTCCTCCTTGTTCTTGCCTTTTTTCGATTTTGAAGTCAACTTTCCGTGAATGAATTTTAAAAGAATATCAATAGATGTTGCTGGGGCACCATCAATTTCATCTAAAATTAAACAGTTTGGCCTAGGGTCTGCACCCATTACAGCTTTCATTTCCGTAGATGCTAATAAAGCTTGCCTATTAGATAATAAAAATAATTTATATTTTAGACAGTTGCAGTTGAAAACATATTACTTTTAATTAACTCTAGCTCGTCATACCTATTTTTTGCCCTTCAACCAGTCTAACGATTTACATTGTTCAATAACTTTGAAACAAATGCATAGTTTTAGGTTCAATTATAGTGAAATCGTAGTGCCAGACTTCGATTACAGTCCAATATCAAATATAATTTGATCAAAAGTAATAATATTTACAAAAAAAAAAACATGTCATGAAGAACAGAACAAAATGCAATATTTGTCCCATTACACCGAACACAGATAAGACAAGCTAGGATTAATAACAACAACAACAACAATAATAATATATAATTCAGCAGTTTATCACGCCAATGATCACTTCTCGTTACCGATATCTTACTAAAAATAATGGTACGAATTGTGTAACTGATTTTACCTGAAATTATCCGGACTCCTATCGTCACTAGCATTAACTTCAACAATATTATAACCAGCATGTCTTGCTACCAAATGGGCCAAAGTCGTCTTTCCAAGGCCGGGCGGCCCAGTAAGCAACGCTATTCTATGCTCTGGAAATCCTTTACTATCGCGTCCCTCAATGGGTTTATTTTTAATAAATTTTTTGGTACCAAACTTTGGCATTTCCGTTACTTTCTGACGTGTGATCGGTTCCCGATTAAAAACAATTTTATCCCAAAGTTTCAGCCAGTGAAGAAATTTTCGATTCACACCTTCATCGGAAAGTAATTCTATATACTTTTGTGGACGATATTTGTCAACCCATAACTTATCATCAGATGATATTTGAACGTCAGGTTCTGTCGCAAGTAAGGTTGCCTCTTCTGCATTTTTGACAATCTGAAAGATATTTCGGTGATATTACAATTTCAATTTGCACATTTAGCTGAACCTAAAATAAATTTATATAATTCACGAACATAACCAGACTTGCTATTTGATTTTTATGTATAGCATCACTATATTTTATACATTAGGATCTTTTCCTCACTAGACGAATGACTAAATATAATATTCATCATTTCGCTCCAAACTTGAAGATCGTGTTTCAAAAAATATACTCATACATATCACAACAAATATCACTCCTGGAGTATTAAGGGCCACGTCTACTGGCTAGAGTCACAAAGAGCAAAAATCTTAAATTACTTAATCTAAAATTTAAATCAGAATATTCGAGCATTGTCGCATATATAAATGTGATCAATTTTGATAATGTAGTAACACAACTGCCTTAAATACATCAGACGCATTTCCCACAAGCATAACAATTTTTGACATTATAATTTCAAAAGAAGTAATTGAAAAATCAAGAAATAATCCATTCTGTAAATTTCGTAACGAAGCATAACCACTAAAGGAACCCCTTAAAAATATAATATACTCAGCCAGCGCTTTGAATACCTTATTGTAAATCAATAATATTCATAAAGTTTTGAACATTTTGAGGTATACCTACAAATTTTATAGTGAGCAAAGTATAAAAATACGTTTTAATAAGTATATAAGGTTGCACTAGTGATGCCATAAAGAACATGTTATTACTAATTGAGGATATGTACTTACAATTTCCTCAGCTTCAGCTTTAAGTCGGCTGTATGACACGGAAAGTAAACCAGTAACCATTTTTGGACGATTTTTAGTAACTGCAAATTTATTATGTGATCGTACTCTGACATAATAACGTTCGGAATCCGATGGTCGGGTCACTGGCATGAAATTCCATGATGGTACTCTGAATGATATTGTTTCCAATTTTTCTCTAAATGCATTAAAAAGAAATTAGTTATTTCAATTGACACATATAACCAAATGTAACAGTCTGAATATTGAAGAACCTACTCTTCAAAGTCCTGCGCTGTCTGATGAATTGAAACATAATTATTTTGTGTATGTAAAATTCTTCGAGCTTCTAGGACTTGTTTAATAACTTCCTCTGGTTCGTCCCAACGAGGCCTTTTTTCTTTATGCTCATGAACATCTGCTAAAAAATAAAGGAAATTGAAGTATTTTATTACCTATCAGTATTTATTACTGATAACATTTAATTAAATGTAAATGTTAGTGATATTATACTATTCTATTGTGCTCTCATTAAAAAGATGTAAGAAAATCATAACAATATGAAAAGTTTGAATAACACAGATTCTAAATGATAATCTGCGTGTTGTATGAAATAAAAAGAATGATAAGGTTTTATTATCTTACGTAGTATATCATCACCAAGTAGATCAGTGACATCTCCAAAGAGTTCCTCAAAAGTACGTTTTTTGGTGGCTTCATTGGCAGTAATACCACTTTGACTAGGCAAAACTAAGTCAGGTGCTTCATTTGAATTCGAGCTCAGGATTTTCTGTGAACCTGGATTCTTTTGCACAGGTTGTTTAGACACTTCTTCTTTCTTTTTACTTGAGCCTAAACAAATAAACCTTTTTTAATTTGTACGACAGAATACAAGGTGAACGTTCCTTCTTAAAAGTAACAACAAAATTATACAATAAATAATGCTTTTTCAATTCAAACTTTGAAACATTAAACATAGGATTGATGAATTAGACATTGGAGTTATTAACTACATGTATTAATCGAAAACAATAAAAGAGTTACACAGGTATGTATTTAACAAGGTTTTAAAAAAAAATTTAAGGCAACTTCTTCATAATCGAATAGCATAAGCATGACCTAATAAACAAAATACAAGGTAATATTCATTATAGATAACCTTTTAAGCATTTTGTAGCAAAAAGTGCAAATAATTATGACAGCTAAACATGCAGATTTATAATAGTAGTTGATATTATCGTTTGTATACTAAATTTATAATTTTTTAATATAAAGTTTTGCAAATATAGATACGAATACACTTAACATTGTAATGACAATAACTGATTACATTTAAAAGTAGATTTACATTCAGTGGAAGTTGTGACAGCATAGGTTATCTTTACCTTCCAGTTCGTTTAAAACTTCATATTCGTCTTCATGAATTAAGTCATATAAATCTCCATCGGGATCCGGAAATCCGTCCTCCATAGTTAGATTTATGAATATTTCTGCGTTACGTTGCTTCACCTAAATAATAACAAATATTACGTTAAATCGCAGCAGTGAGATTCAGTACGTCCTTTTGACCAGTTTTAACGCTGCCGCCATTAATGGACGACAATTTTCCAAGTTTTGAAACGCATCAAAACCAAACCTGTCGGATAAACTGGTCCCGTATTCTGGAGCCTGCCCTAATGATTCTCGCATGTGAGTTTCCATTTAAAAACTATTGCCTGAATTGTGGAGATTCTTGAAAACGGTTCAAGAACATAGGTGCTGTATCATATTCTCTATAAGTTGTAATGATAATTGTCGAGGTTACATATCAATAACTAATTGTAAGTTTTACCCGACCGCAAGTTAGACATAGAAGGAAAATGTTGCTACTGGTCAAAATGCAATTATTATTATCTAATGATACCGATAACTGTCAGCAGGAGTTAGAGAATAGAATTACTGACTATTTTTCTTTTATAGCACAAATTGAAACAGATCGACACACTTTTCCTAAGTTGCGTATACGCGTACAGCAGAATCCCGTAACATAACATAACATAACTACATAATAGGTAGGTCTGTTCTCGTTACCTACATTTTTTGCACTTTCCAAAAAGTGCAGAAAGTCTAGGTAACAAAAACAGACCTAATATAACTTCACGAGTACTCCAAGAGAGTACGGTCACACAGTTACGTTACGTTATGCGGTTATGTTATAGGATTTTGTTGCAAATGTATACACAGTTTTAAATACAATAGGTTATTGGAAAATTCTATTAGAAACATCAATGAGTTCTCGGCTTTGAACAACTTGTGATGATTTCTGCCGTAAAAGAAAAACGTATTTGAAGGAATTTTTACAAAATTTACGAATGATTATCAACACATATTAAGGTTTTCTCATATATCTTCATAGATCAAATATTATAAAGGACTATACATTGTTGAGAAATGATTAAAATAGTGTATGATACGCGTGCGGGTTGATGATTCCTTCTCGTGTGACGTTTGCCGCCCAAGCAAAGCGAGGGTGGCATTCATTAGGAATCACCAACTTCCCGCACTTTTATCATTATGTGCTATTACCAGAGATACTTCACGATAATAGCTCAAAATTATTACGATATGTATTATTTTATTTTAAGGGAAAATACGAGAATTGTGGGTATAATAGGTAGAACCAATATAGTACATTATGATACAAGTGCGGAAAGCTGGTGATTCCTGACGAGTGTGACGTTTGCCGCCCGAGCGAATGAGCAATCATATCAGCAAATGATTCGAATCGATTCGAGTGAAGCGAGGGTGGCAAACGTCACAGGAGTAGGAATCACCAACCCGCACGCGTATCATATACTATTTTTTGCAACAATGAACGGAAAGTTCACAGTATATGCACCAAAAAGAAGCACGAAATGGTCGACTCTTGATGAGTTCAGAGTGTACGGGAATATTATGATTCCCGTACACTCTGAACTCATCAAAAATTGACCATTTTGTGCTTACTTTATGGTACACAAACTGCGAACTTTCCGTACAGTGTTGCAAAAATATTATTTTAAATCGATTTCTCGGAATAATTTGCTGAATATCATTTTTTAATCAGATCGCGTCAACTTATAAAAACAGTTTGTTAACCATCTGCTAAAAAAATGTTATTTTGTTCAAATAATTACTTCTGCTGGCATATTTGCAAAATACATTTTTAAAAATAACAGCGTAAAAGAATCTAATTCTCCTGATGTAATTATTTTAGTACTTTGCTGCATATTTGCTTGAGAAAACTTTTCCCAGAAAACTTTTGCTGAAAAGTATACGTCATGCAACTGTTTTGCATGGACACGTTTTATTATCTGCGCTTAATTGATAACCTTTTAACAATTTTTTGTTTAATATAGTTATCGCTCAAAAATATATTGCCAACAATAAAATTGCGAATGAAAAAAAAAGTGACCCAACCATTTGGTCTTTCTTACCCTCTCAAAAAAAGGTAGAGTTATATACGCGTACCAATGAATAAGTCGTTCTGTATTGTAACTATTAAAATGTCCAGTATCATAACGGATGTTTATAAATGAATAAGCGTTCTGCTTATCCAAGGACTTTTTCAGACTTGTGAAGCTTAAGGATTTTATATCACATTGAGCTGTATAAAATTTCTATATAAACTTTATACAATACATCTGCATCGCTGAGAAAAATTAACAGGGTCGTCACTCGTAAAAATAAAAACTATGGGCTTCAGTAATACAGGCTACGCCTCTATCTGCCACAGTGTATGCAGTTGATCGTATATCTGATATAATACTCGCTGTGCACGAAATTGCTGATCTGGCTGGAAACAGCTTTTTAATATTGTTAATACATATCGTAAAACATTACCATTACAAATACTTCATAAGAATTAATAAAAATCATAAATATTTTAGGGATATAATAGTTTTGGGTTTTGTTTTTCGTACTGTCCTGCTTGCTTCATTCCTCCTAGCAACGTCGCGCGATCAGATATTGAAGAGTTGATAGCGAAATCCAACACGTGCTTAGTATCAGTAATCCCGTAAATTGAATAAATTATAATATCAGTAGATTTCTAATTTTTTTTTCTACGATATTTAAATCATTTAAGTCAACTACTTACAAATGACGGAAAATCTGTACTCGAGCTTACTACAGTAACAGTAAGTACTTAGGGAGCAACAATAGTTGCAATAACGATAATAATTCCAGTAAGATCTCTAATGTAACTTAGTAAAATTTGCAGTGTCAATTCTACATTTTAATACAAATGTTATCATTGTTAATGGTCCATACATCTGAAATCGTTACATAACTATAACCAGTGCACAAGTTCAATGTGTTTTTTGTGACAGAATGAAGATAATGAAATCTTTATACGTGGTTCAGCATACAATTTTTGCTAAAAAATATGCATGAATATGGTTCTACACATATATATTTTAATTTTTCTATATACAGACTATACATACGATGATCGATGCACGTGGACTTCTCGCAACAAGAAGCTTGCATGGAACACTTATGGTCCATCCTTGAAGGTCGCAGCCCGCATCGTACCTTCTTTGTTAAGACTGGCCTATCTTCAGCAGTGACATGGATATCCTTCTCTAATAGTCCCGGCCTCATAAATATAGGAATGTCTATACGTGCTTACAAATATGGCGTTACTAGGTGCGTGACAATTGCCTTTAGACATTGCTATCAGCTTGATATGATCAGCATTTCTATCAGCGGAGTACCACGTATGGAATAACATGTCCTTCGCAATTAAAATTAAATGTTTGTCAAATACTACTAAAAAATGACTTCCCTATAATATAGCTATGCTACTTAAAATATCTATCTCACAAAGCTCACAAAATAAAAATCACTTTTTTTTTCATAAAAATCACGTACTTATCACACTAGTCATCAAAATGACTCGATGCTGTTTTATTTTCCTAATTGCTGCGAAATTCACGCTGAAGCATTTCTGATAGCGTGCATTTGCTGAACATTCAGAGGAAGAATGTAGAATGGTATGTTAGTGGGGATAGCTCACTTGTGAAACCGACCTTCGAGATATTTGTTTCTAAAGTCAAAGCTGACAACCGAGGGTTAATACAGCACAGGCGTACACTCAGCGCCGTTACACTCATCCATTGTCTGGACTTACCGATTGAGTTTGCCCTTTTAAATTACACGAGTGGAACAGAGACAAAAATAGATTTAAGGGCCCAGGCATTAACGACGCTGAATGTACACGAAACTTTAATATGCATGGTACAAGATAACCTCTATTTGAACACTATTTGAACACAATCTTACTATACTTCTTATCATTGCCACATGAAATTTGTAGTCCAAATACTAACCATTGATTTAATAATCGCAACTGTACACTTTTCTCCGTATATCATTTAGGACTATATAAACACATAGTGCTGAATAAATAAACCAACAAATAAAATTGTACAATTGTATTGATTTGATATCTTATTTGAAAAATACTAAATGTGAAAAGCGACTAATCAAGCGGAAAAGACGTCATCGCGGAATAGAAATGCTGAATGTCGGTAAGTAACGGGATCACGGGGTCGTTCGAGGGTCGGAGGCCACGCTGTCAAGTCTGATAAGAAGGCTTTCAGGGTTCGAGCAATAAGAACAAAAACAATATTACTTTGACGTGTTCATAAAATTCAATTGCTCACAACGAAGCCTCTTCAGTCTGTTGCTGTCCACTTCGTAAACATTCTTGTGCATTAAATCGTTTCGAACATTGTCTTTGTGTCATACATTTTTCGCGTGTACAAGTTTTCGACGTCACAACCAGGTTTGCTATTTTGTCAGAACACATCACGAGCATTACATTCTTAATAATACGGATGCGGTGTAATAAAAATTATATTGATACAAACTTCAAATGTAAAGCTTTTAATAAGGTAACACGTTATTATAAATGCAATCGTTCAATATACCCCCAATTTCATGTACCGGCAAAAATGTGAATCCTTGGAACAAAATAACTGTTTGGATACTTTGAAGATCTAAAATAATCATCGAGTAAAATTGTTCGTAATGAAAAATTCGGTTGTCCTTTTGTATTGAGTGAATCATCTAAAAGAAGTAAACATTGTTTTATTTATATATTAAGCCGAATACGAGGAAATAAAAAAATAAAATCTTTTCTCACTAATTAAAAGCAAATTTGAGAAATTTCTTTTGAAAAGTATAAAATTTGGAAAATCAGCAACCAAAATTATATAATGTAATTTTAAAAATTGCGTTGTCCGCATATCACAGTTAATATACGAATTTATTAAAATACTTCTCAGTAACGCTAAGGTTATTTACTTCCACCATTCAATACGAACAAAAGGAACGGAACAGCCTAAAAGGACGTGACAGATCAATTTGAAGTAACATGAACGTAAAAAGGAAGGTGACGAATATAATTCACACTCGATAAATATATATTTCGAGAGCACGAGTTTGTCAGCTTTCTTCATGTTCCACTGCACGCTGTTTAACGTGTAGTGTGGTGCGTTGTACAGAGTAGAGCAGAGTAAACCAGAATCGAATAGCACAGAGTAGACTGAAGCTACCGTATGTCCCCACGCTCCTTCCCCCACCACCTCGACTGGTGCCCAGGCAGTTCGTAGTCGCGGTACACGATAACGCGGCGGCCTGTCTAATTATTCGTGTTTCTTCGTAGGAGAGGAGGACAGCTCGGTAGGCCCAGGACGGTCGTACCGACGGACGGACAGACAGTTGGGAACGAGGAAGAACGACAAGAAGGAAAGATGGCCTGGCCCGAAAGGCCGGTCGCCGTTACCATCTCCCTCGTCAGCCTCCTGGCATTCTTTGGTAAGTTTCCGGTTATTGGCCCCTGCCACCTGCCACTCTTCATACCCAACATTCTACATTCTTCATTCTTAAATCAAGACTCCCACCATTTCCCACCCACCTTCGATCTTTCTTCCTCTCCACCCCCACCATTACCCCCATTATTTTCCATCGTGTCCTGGCCCCCTTCTCCCTCCCAAATATACGCCTGACACCAGGCCACATGGTCAAAGCTTTTTAAACCTCTGAACTTACAATACGCCCGACAACTCTCGTGTTCATTTGCTGTTCGCATTTAGTCACTGCTTTTGCTATGCTTTCTCCGCCTGTTATATCGGAACGTTCTTCGAAGCTTGTCGTTCGTTATTATAACAGTACTTTGCCTGCTGGTTTTATTATTTATTCGTTACACGAATCCCTGCACAAATTCTACATTTCGATTTGAACAGTATTATACCAGTCTCGTTTTCTGTACTTTGTTCTTTTATCTTTTCGTTCAGTGACATTACCGTGTACACTTTTTTTTTAATAGTCTTATAAAGTTTTACACTACACCAAATGCATCGTTTACACCTGGACATTATTTTGTTAAATGTTTATATCGTTCCATACGTGGCATTTAAGAGGACTAGCTTACCGTCCGTGGATAATTACTATTATTAATTTTTATGCATAACATATACATATAATAAACATTGCTATTGGGAAGTATATATTTTCAAATTGCATCGTCACTGGAACTTAGAATTTCTACAGTTGCGTAATCTTGTAAATAATACTACAACATAAAATAGAAGCAAAATACTTAGCTGCTCATAATTGAGTAACAAACACTTTGTTGCAGTTCTATTTTTATTTACAACTAGGTAACCTAAATATTTTTACATACTTTTACGTTATCTTTTTCGAGTCTCTTAAACTTTCACAATAATCTGGACAATAGGATATACTCAAAATTTTAACGTCCATTATATCGTCACGCATGAGTTTATTTGACAATAGGCACGAATTCACATAACAGTACAGTAAAGACATAATATACGAGCACAATAATCAAAAATATTTTACAAAAACATTTTCGACGTTGATCAACGTGCATTTGGTTTGATTATTTTTATACCTCGATAACAAATTACATCGTTATTGTATAAGCTATCGAAATATTGACTAGATATTCATTGGAAGTAATGTTAGTAGAATTGCACAAGTAAATACGCTGATGCATTAACACACTTCTCATTATAATTGTTGTTCACTGATACTTCCGCTGTAATATTGTCACGTGGCGACGCCTAGAATAACGCGGGGTGGTAAAGCAATAAAAATAAAGATGGCTATTGGCCATAACGAGTTCCTTTTCTTCCTAAGTTATCTGCAATACGCGCGCGCGTTTCGCTCTGTACTTTCCAACCGATGGAGTAATCAGACAATAATCAGTAGTCGGTAATCTGCTGATTGCTGAGTCGGTAAATTCAATGTTTAGAGAACCGCAATACGCGAATCTCGCTTGGCTTGGAAGACTCTGAAGAAAATTTATTATTTGTTCGTTTTATGATCAACACCAACTATTTTTTTTCTAGGATCCTACTGTCAGATGGCACCAGGTAAATAAAGAGCGAGGGTGCTATCATTTTGGAGCGATACGGAAACGACCCTCCTATTCAGAATGCCGTTATCGCCAAGACATAATGGAGTACATACATATAATAAATAATTGGTCACAGAGTTTAACGCGCTTCGTCCTTCGATTATGCAGTAAAAAGCGAGATAACGCAAATAAAAGGAAATTGTCGTCAAAAACAACTCAAAAGAAGTTTTTGATGCTTACGTGGACTATTGGATTGCGCTAACTAGTGTTTACGAATTACGGTTTTTCACTAACGTATATTCTTGAAACAATGATAGTTTTCGTTACGAATACGTAGTGTTTACGCTGAACTGATAAAAGTTGTTAATGAATGAAAAGTGAAAGATAGTAAACACTCATTACATTACTCGCGAGTAGATAAAGAAACACAAATTTTATTTGATAAAAAGGGTCCCACTAACCTATATTATTTGAACTATTTAAGCTCCTTTAGTATTAACGTATTTGCAATCCTCAGGATTAATCCACAGCATATATAGTATATTGATCTTGTAACATTCGTACCTGGTAGACTGCTGTCCCCTTGTCGACTAATAAGTATTTATTAAATCTTTGTATTAACTAAAATTTAATTATAACTATTTAAAATGTATAATAAATCGGGTAAAGGAACGTGGATTCATAAAAATAGGTAAGACTGGTTAGGAAAAACGGTTATGCACTCCTGTATCAGGGAGCAGGGCTGTATGCACATTACTAATAATGGGGGACGTAACAATTCTGATAGGTCAGGAATTATTTGCAATACAAGGGGCATAATACGATGACTGAGATAGCAACGAAGGAAATGGGGGGTACAGGGGAAGAGGAGGACGTGGTGGTGGTGGCGCCGGTATGCACGGAGTATAGAGTGGGCCGGTGGCGGAAGAGGAGTAAAGAGGAATGAGAATTAACGGTGCTCCACTCTATGGGATTGACTGCTAACATACGATTTTCGGACCCAATGGTGGGGTCGAGCAGTCTAGCCACGATTGTCAGTCGACTCGCGACCGCCGACCAAGAAACTTCCGGTCCTCTCCTGCTAGATATAGTCCGATTTCAAATTTCATTAGTCATAGAATCACAAAGTTATCGACGGTATGACGAATGTCTTGTTTCTGTGCTTGTTCGCTGTAGCTGTCGCTGGCACCGCCCCTGGTTGGAACCTTGGAAAAGGACTCAGATATGAGTTAACCACTACAACTCTTTTCAAAGAAGTCGGACCAGTCAAATTCGGCGATGTAGGATTCCAACTGACCGGCCAGGTTGTGGTTACCGCCTTATGGAAAGATCCGAAAGATGCCGACGCTATTCTTCTCAAAATTGAGGTTTGACTTGAGCTTATTTATCTTTTTTTTTTCTTTTATGCTCATTTGATATTCAATTGAAAATGAGCTCACTTATAACTAAGCCTCATATTTCTTCATTGTCTCTCGTTCAAAGTCCTTTTTAACAGCTTGATAATTTCGTGCTTAGTCCGATGTATACTGGACGTGTTTATATTATCATTTTCTTTTTTATATTTTATTTATTCCTGATAATCTCGACTTATACACGTGTAACGAGCTTGCTTTTACTGTGAATTTAATATTCAATCGTATATTCTATATAAGTAGACAAATTTTTATGAATCACTTAGTTCCATAGTGCATCTTTGAATGTTCGTCAATACCATTACAATGGTTATCTCTGAATAATATTAATTATATATTCTGGATAATATTAACTTTTCTTCTTCTGTTTACCTATCGATTACAATACTTTCGATTAATAGGAATTTGAAGTATTTAGGTTTGTCGTCATTTTTGTCCTTTAGAGTAGTATTTTAAATATTCTTCACAGTTATCTCACAGTTTGAAATAGCAGTGGTACGTCGATAACCTTTGATCTAATGTGCAGTAATGTTAATGATTATTCCAGTGCACGTGGGAATCTTAAAAACTTTAAACTTACGAATAAAATTCGTTACAGCGAACATGCATTCCATCTCATATATCCATTTTATATTTTGTGCATACGTGAATCTAAGAAGATAAGTCGACCTTCAAATATTTTGAGCACGTTATCGATTTAATCCATCAAGGAGGGTTGGTCCAATCCAAGCTTTACCACGGCAATCAAGTTGATTGGTAGCAACAAGTAGTTGGTTCTGAAAATTGACTCTTAATATTTATAGAAACATAACAGATCTGGCCACAATATTGCAGGCATAAAAGAAATACTTTCTAGGTTCTTTTTTTTTTGTTACCCAACATAAAATTCTCTTTAGATTAGAATATTGCTTTGAACATTATACTGTCAATGAAAACGGATAGAATGCTTCTTAATATACAAGGTAGTCCAGTTGAACTTAATCATATGCTTTTTGAATTTATACTTAACCGTACGCGAACCATTTTCAGGAACAATGTGGTATGATAGAAAGTTTTATTTATTAACTTTAAAGCTCAACGGTTAATGGAAGTAAAAGCTTCCTTTTAAAGTTTTATACCTTTAGATAAATTAAATATATATTTTTTTAAACTACCCCTTTATAAAATAATTGTGAGGCTCAATATTTTATCTGATCCTCGTTTCAGTGATTTTAATTATTTAATATACAGTTTCATATATGTATATTTATCTCTTTGCAGACAGAAGTGTCCAGTGAAGTAATTTATACAAGACTTTTACTAATTAAACGTTTTTGACCTCAGAATTTCGAACGGAATAATATGAAGGACCGGTTTTCAAAAAATAATCGGATTATCGTGAAACCGGGTTTCTGAAAGTTATTCGGGTTGTATTATTTTGTTTGAATTTTTGAAACTCATCAACAAACACAATATTACAAGTGACGCACGCGTTTGTTGCAATGTGCTCCTCAGTTATCTAAGAATAAGAAACTCGGCACTATTGAACGTCTGACGACAGATTACCCACCTTGTCATCGTTCACTCGAATATATTATAAGAAAATGTAGGTGTACATTTTATTGGCTGAAATTGTGTATGGGGATTGAAATAATTTAACAACCTGTATATTACTATTTCGATTTTATATTTATAGGATTAGATAGGAACTGATAAATTTGTTCATTCCATCACGTTCAGTTCGTTTCAATTTTAATTAAAATTTTTGAAATTACAGTCCAATCTGATTATAAATACTTATTTTGGAAAAGGGATATAATACAACAAATTTATTATCATATTTTGTGAAAATATATTCACTATGCAAAATTATTATGTAAAAAGTCACTGCAAAACTACTTCAAATGTTGTCTTTCTTTTTCATAATGTAATTTGTCGATGAATAATAAAGAAGCAATAGGTTTATAAACAATCATATATTAGTATTACAAGTTATAAAAAAAATATCAGGGTAAAATATCTTATGATACCATAAACTACCACGTATTACATAAATCTCTTATATTTTTTTTTTTGTATATTTCGTCATAACGAACTTTTCTCTTAATAAGGCTATGAATTAAAACACCCTTATAGTAAGAATCTGTTTTACTTTTTAGCACAAACTTACAATGTCGCCCGAATGATTTCGTTTTGCAATAATAATGACACTAATTACTGTAATGATAAGAGAAACTAAATATTCATACTAACCACATAGATATACAAAACAATTATTAATTCTGCCACTATCTCAGTATAAAAAAAAACTCAGCTTGATCTGGTGTATTCATCTTATAATAATTCGAAAGAAACATATTCATCGTTGCAATACATTATATCTACTGTTTAAATATTTATTTATTTCAGAATAATTTCATTCTGCATGCGAATAAATATATGTATACCCTATATTAACAATTTTATATTCTTTCGTTTTGTAAATAACTGTTGAGAGAAAATTTTCATAATTACTTCCCTGTACAGTGCAAATAAGAATACTTAGAGAAACCCTTTTCCAACAATCTTGAAGTTTTCGGTAATCATAAGAAATATGAATTAATTTTTACTTTACAATATTGAAAATGGATAACATAATTTTCTCATACATTAATTCTTGTTTTGCAGCTAATATCTCCACAATTATGGATAAAATCGAGAAAAGCACCAGAACCCGAAGGTTTCGTCGAACACAGTTCAAAGCTGGATAAGAGTTCAAAAAGCCCCGTTTTCATACTCTGGAAAAACGGAGAAATTCTAGCAGTCTACTTAGATCCATCAGAAACGGTATCGAACATAAATCTAAAAAGAGGCCTTGCCAGTCTCTTTCAGTACAGAACTCTTGATGGAGAATTCAAAGAACGAGATGCTTCCGGTCTCTGCAGTGCCATCTACAATTCTGCTGGACCACGTTCCATTAGAAAACAGAAAATTGCTTGCGAGCAGAGTTCCTTGACTCCAGTTCAAAAGCACCCAAATCCCATAATGGATGTTGATATTACGAGTAATCGTAATTCTTCATACGAACTGACTCACGCACTTCTGCTAAATTCTGTAATCGATTATGAAAGCCACGCAATGAATTTGAGAGGCAAACAGGATGTTGGCACTACCGTCACATCTCAGAGAACCTTAAAATTACTTCCGGGAACTTTCGAAGCGTCACCCGTGCAAGCAGATTCCGTGAAGGATGCTGTTGCTCTTCTCGAACCAAGTTTCAGAAAGACTCAGATCGATCTGCAACCTGAGCCTGCGATTTGTCCTGAGTCTGGTTGTGTTACGGTGAGTCCTTTTCTTTTTCCTCACTTTTAAAGTAACAGTTTTACAGTAACCCCCAGCAAACACAAACCTTACTTATCAACAACTTCAACAAACACAATATTACAAGTCATGCACAAATTAGTTGCAGCGTGCCACTCTTTTATGTAACCTCAATATATCAGTTGATCAGTCAGTAATTGATGGACACATGTAATATTGTGTTTACTGGAATGCTACAATTTCTTATTCAATGATACAATAATTATGTACAATGAATATTTTTTAATTGTTTTATCATCGAATAGGATATTTCAATATTTTTCCTATGTAATTATTACTACGTGCTTGCTGAGATCCTATAACTATTTGATATGATTAAAATTTCTCGGTATCATAGATTAGCAATATTTTTTTTATCAACAATTGAGTAACTGCAGAATATTAATCAATATCTTATTCCGTGCTATGACGTGAGTACGTTACATTGTCGAAATTATTGATAGGAATAAATGAGTTTGAATAGCCTATTTAACATCTGAGAGACTTACAGACCAAAATATCTTGTATTAATCTGGTTAGAGTTTTGTCTGTACCCTTTTTTTGTGTATGCATACATTGTATTTTGGTATCTATTTTTCCAATACTATTAAGTACCGTGTGTTACAGCTTGAAGAAATGCTTGAAGAAAATCGGGAAGCTTTGGACAATTCTGCGCTGGGATCGGTGAAATCGGCTGTGGCTTTTCTTAAATTAATACCATTGGTCAGAAACGCTGGTCCTGAAGAACTAGCTAAACTATTAAAAAGTCCACGATATCGAGAATTAAAATCTCAATTATACGATCTTTTGGGATCAGCAGGAACTCCTGCAGCGCATCAGGCAGCTATGAAAATTCTTAAACAAGATGAAAGAGGTGACGACACCGAAAGATATCTTTGGGCGCTATCGATGTCGGCTACTCCTCATGCGGATATAGCTAAAGACATTTTGAGAAGGTCAGAGGAGACAATGCAGAACGATAAGATTTCTGAAACTCTAGCTTTGACTGCCGCTGCAATGGCTAGGCAGCATGGCTCCCCAGCGGTAATTGAGAGAGCCAGAGCAAGCTTAGAAATCGGACTCGATAGTTGCACGGGCGAAGAATGCAAGCTTAAATTTCTCAGAGCTCTACGTAATTTGAGAAGTAAAGTGGCCATTCCGACTTTGTTAAGTTACGCTTCGAATGGAACTAGAGCCATAAGCGTAGCGGCTTGGCGGGCCCTGGGAGCCTTGCCGAAGGAGCATTTAACCAAAGAGGTGAAAATCGCAGCAGCTAAAACTTTTTATCAAATTGGCGGCCCTAAACGCGACAGTAGCGCCAGGACTCTTGCATTGGATATCATATTAGAAGCTGATCCTTCGAAAGAAGATCTTCAAGGTCTCGTTCAGTATCTGTCAACAAATGACTCCGTGTACGAAGTGCGAAAATATCTTACTCAAAGAATGGAGCAAATCGCTGAGAAAAATAGTGAGTTTGCGAAGAACTTAAAAGAAGCTTTCCAGACTGAGGGGAAAAAAGTCATGAACTACAATGCACTCGCTTTAAAGGGACTAAGCACTGCTTTCACCAGAACTTTTTTAAATTCCCCAGGAAGTAATGGTTCGTTAGTTACGGTTCAAGAAGTGAGTTCCGGACTTCTTAAGCGCGGAGTGGTTGATGTGATTTTAGAGTCTGGTAAAGATCGTCAATCTCTATTCTCTTTGGGGCTCTTCGCAGGAGGCCTTGGGAGCTTTGTATCCTCCTCCGAAGACAATTCGGATTCCACGGATGAAGACGAAACAGCCACAGCTGGAATGGACATAAGTTTCCTCGGAGTTGGAATAAGACCTTTTGTCTTTTTTTCTGGTCAGGGGGAACTCATGGGTCACGTGTGGTCCGGAACAGCTTCGGAAAGAACACCAGCATTCCAGACACTTACTAATCTTCACCGCCATAAAGAGTTCATACCACTCTCGTCAGGCTTCATCGCTGAAATCGACGTGGATGGGGCTGCTAGTTTTGACTTGGCCGGAAAAATTCAACTTAGCCTATGGTCAAGAAACGCACAATCCCTCGTCGAAATGGGATCGGGTATAGCCATTCGTGGTGCGAGTAAAATTCGCTCAGACTTTGTACAAAGTACAGCAGAATTCTCACTCAGCATGGAACCTAAACTAGAGCTAGCGACGGATGTGGACTTCTCGGGTTCGATTTCTCTATGTATGAGACTCACTCAACCGCGAAACACAGTAAGGCACAATATCTACAAGATAGAGAGGATACCTGGCAGTAGACACAAATTAAGAAAGACACGTAGAACAAAGTTTGGATCACCAGCAAAGTCTTACCTGCTCAACAGAAAAAACAACGAAATGTGCTCAAAAGTGTTCAGCTAGTTAACCAAGACTTCTACGACATTCTGTGAAAGCCCCTGTTTCAAAGAAAAAAATTATCAAGAGCCGAGCTCACGCTAAGCACTTAGCTTCTTTGTATTTTTGTACCATATCGTCTAGTACTAGCTTACGTTGTAGATATTATTGATAAGGCCAATCACCTCAAATCTACCAGCTGAAGTTAGTTGCTCCATGGACAATCAAATGGACAAGTGGACTTGAATCGATACGTTTGAGGTGATTAGCCTATAGAATTTTATTAATAAAATAGTGTAAAAACGAAATATAGTCTCTATTAACGACAGCCACACTCTGCCACGACCATGTCGTCATAGCCATACTGATACGTTAACGTACCGGCTGAGTCCAAATAAAGTAAACTAGTGGGGGCAAGTCTTGTCGGCACGCAACAAGCTCTGCCAACAGCTTTCGCACTGCCATGGGCACCAGGCATACTACCTTGAAGAGCCGTATGCACCAAAGTCTGAACAATGGCGTGCTTGGTGGGACTAAGATGGTCACCGAACGGATAGAAGCATTTGCCAGAGCACTGAAATGCTTCGTAGCCTGGTGGAGCTACGACCCACTCGTCGTAGGCGATAGTTGCAAAATCCACGTAGAGCGGACGTCGACGACAAGCATGTCGTCTTCGACGATGACCACCGTCCTCGTCCCATGGATTCTCATCTTGTTCCTCGTCCATTGATCTTTTTCTACGTTTTCTAGGTTTACTGTAGCTTAACAGCAACAGCGGACCTTCTCCGTTAGGCTGGCTCTTAACTTTTCCACTAACCAGGAGCCGTACCGTGTCGCTTTTTCGAGCTAGAAGGGACGATGTGACGTCGAAGGCTCTCCAAGAGTCGTCCCTTCTCGATCGCTGGACTCCAGATGTCTTTTCGTTTATTGGTCGGACTCTCATTATCATACCTGCTGTTCCAAGTAATTCTGCTGCTTCCAAAATCTCTCCTGAATTGACTGGCGGTATAGAAAACTCGAGAATTCGACCTTTGTTTCCTACTGGACTGGAAACGTGTCTGGGCTGAAGTGCCTTCACTATATCAGCATCTGCTCTTTTGTTGTACAATTGTAACATATACCTGGAGACTGCTCCATGGTTCCTTTTACGAATTTTCGTTTTCCTCGTAGTTCTGTTGAAGAGCTTATGGGACACTGACAACGACGCTGCTGATGGTAAAGAGAGATCTACTTCAATGGATGCTTTTGCAACGACTCCTGACGTTTCCCAGGATAATGATCCTTTCTTCCAAACGTAGTAACACCCGAAAATAACTAGGAACGAAAGTAACCAGTATTGCGAGGCAATCCGCATGATTGACGAACGGACAGTTGGGTGTTAAAAGAATGATCTTCTCCTCATTTTTGAAAATTTTATGATTTTATCACAAATTTTTAATGTCACTTTTTTAAGTAATCCTGACAGGATCTTTTCATTTCACAATGGCTAGGGCAGCACGGTAAAATTCAACTGATTGGACATTTTTGATACAATCCTTTTTATTTTTCGAATACTTATTTTACAATTACTGAGCGACGATTTTCGTCGACCGTCCACTGCATCGCATTTTCAACTGAGGACTATACTTGACTTCCTCTCGAGGAAAGTTTCTCTCGATCCCTAAATAACCGCCAATCGAGGGCCAGGTTCGAAATTGCCGCGGAAATCGTTATCGACAGCAGACATCCACTTGACCGAGCATCCACCTTCTTATGCTAGTATGGCAGCTCTGCGTCATGCAGGAATTTCAATTCCCTATTAAAAGCAATGCAGATGATAATGATTATAGGTTAAAAGCGACCTAAGGCAATCAGATATATTCAATCGGATACGATTGTCGTTTATAAGAATACTCTAAAATTTACTTACTATTTTACACATTTTTATTGGTTTTATTATACTACGTTTAGACTTTTTGAGCACTCTTATTGAAATCGTTTTAGTTCAGGTTTTCTGTCCTGTAGAATATATTACCATATTTATGCTGAAAGTTTCAAAGATATTTCGAGAACAAATCTAGAGCACCTAATCAATGAATTTCCGTTCGTACTAGTCATTAATCTATATTTAACAAAAGGTCAAGTTTCATGAAAAACGTTTTTTGAAGCATGGGTGGCGATTCATAATTTTAATCTTCACAATCATATGTTGCATACAACTTTGTCAACGACCAATGGACTGCAATATTAAAATAACATTTTATATACGTCTATTTATAAGATATATGTAGTTCTTAAAATAAATCCGGTCTGATTGCATTGTTGTAAAACACGTCTGTACTGCATGATGCATTTACATCGTGCACGCTTGAATTTCGCCATAAAATTATTTCAAAAAAATAGAAATGTCAATGTGTGCATATAACTTTGGAAGCATAATTGGGAACAATGTGGGAGTTTATAGAGGAAATAAAATTTCGCGTATAAATGAAATAATAATATTTGCAGATGTCTGAGGTTAATTTATATTTCTTCTTGATGTATCAAATGAATAAAAAGAAAAGAAAAATAATAAAATATCGTCGTGCCTCGAAGCCAACCCGTTTATCTCAAGAATTTTTATTACGTTACTAAAAATGATACGGTTCAAATAAATTATGTTGAATGATACTGAAATACATAACTGTTTAGATGTAAAACTTGAAAATAATAATTATTTAATAGATAAAAATGATAAAAATATTGTTACTCCGCGCAATTTTTTATTTGACATTCCACTTCATACTAGCAAATGAAAAAAGAAAAAGAATAATGAAATCATTGATGTTAAAAAAATGCCTAATTATATTATTTTCATACTTGCAAAAAAGGGAGAACACATAAGAGCAACGATCCTCGTATATACGAGAATAATTTTGAATATCGCGCGAAAAAGGGAGTTAAATTATACATAGCAGGCAGCCACTTGAACAAGGAGCTGCATCGCTTTCGACCGTTATCTCCAATAGTAGAGGAAGGCAAGGGCGTCGCGGCGCCCTCTCGTGTTCTGGTTGCCCAATCGATTTGACGCTAGAGTGACGTCACAACGCCGCAGATACCCCAGTAAAAGACCGCAGCACGAAGAAGCAAGTACCAAGTCTCATGCCTTAGCATAAATCATTCGGCTTTTGGCGTTTCTAACGCCTTAATCACTCGACTGTCCATTGCTTCAGCTTTTCCACAAAAAGTCTGATATTTCTTTTTCGTAACTCTGAACGTCAAGGACTTAACAAAACGATAGACAAGAAAACAGTAAGTAAAAGTATTGAAAAGTTAGAAGGCTGTAGAAATGCAATTTTTTATTCTTTTGAGTGCAATGCTTATCCCCTCTGTTCTTTCATGCTGTCATTAATTTTGGAGGAAATAAATTTAATGCGCAACAATGTTTACACTTGTTACTGAATAGTGTCAATGTATGAGGATTATTTATAGTTTGATTGAAATAATTATATTTCACATTGTATTGAAAATATAAAACCTATTATTTCAAACACAAAATGTGAAGGGAATGACATAGTTTTATATTGTATTCGTGTGTATGCAGTAGTGTTGATATAAATGAAATTTTATAAAATCTATAGCACTATACAAAATGCATAATCACGAGTCAATATTTCTTTCTATTAATAAAATAGCATATATGTACATATACATACTTTACCGCCATTTTGTATACATTGCTTCGGTTACAGTTCTTACCGACTGAAATTACCGACCGAATTCATTTTTAGCGACAACAAGCGTCGAAGTTCTTCTGTATGATGTCGCTAGAACTGTTGACGACTTATAATAAGTTCTGACGACTATGTACGTTTTCGTCTATCAGATTTAGAGAGATTTAAGAAATCCTGTGTAACATTTGAGAAGAATATACGAACGTGATTGTTCAACCATTTCTAAACCCCGTAGATAGAAACATAGTCAATAATATAATACCAATAAAGTATACAAGATTATTTTTAGTTTATATCTAATTGTCGAAATTTAGTGTTGCAGGAATACGTCAAAGATTATCTACCCTACCTGGGCGGTGCAGCAGGTGCTTTAGTGCTAATGGAAATTGCGGCTTATTTCGTGTCAAGACCGTCGCCAGAAAAACCATTGGTGCCTTTGGATGCACAATCTAGACTTCTTCCAGTAAGCAAATAAATATTCGATTATTATTTTTAGAAATTCATATATTAATATTGTTTATTATATCTACTATATACATTAGTGCTATTTAGTGCTAACTGTGTATCGTACTAACGAAAGAAAATTACATTTTGTTTAATATTTAACATGAGATTTGTAATTCGCGATAATAAAGATAGTCAAATAGGTTTATCACGATTTGTAATCGCGTTAGATTGAGGAAGTTAAAGTGACAGTGAGCTTTTGCATTATTTATAGTGATTATATACGATAACTAATGGAACTCGGTCGCGTTGTGTCTGTTTTTGGTTCCGGTAAAGGATCCAGTCATAGACACTCCATAAAACATTATATTTTCGTCCCTCTTGCAGACATTGTACAACCGCAAGGGTGTTCACGAGTGGATACAGTTTCCGTTACAATGCCTACTACCTTAAAGATATACAATAAATTTGAGAGTAAAACGTTTAATAGCATAATCAGCTCCTCTTGTAAAGTCGTTTCTCTTTGATGCGACTATTCAGCATCAAAATGCAATTACAAACTTTTATAAATGAATATACATATAAACTTTTCTGAATATTTCAATTCCGTTATTCTTGCCACATACAAGACTAGTCACCTCAACTGAATAACAAAAACAATACAAATTGCACAAGACATGTTTCTCTCGCGATGTAGGACTGTATAAAATTTTTTAAATAAAATATTTCTAATTTAAAAACTTTGAAATAACAAAATATTAATTTTTCAATTACCTTATCCTTAATACTTTTATATTCGGAGTACATACAGAAATTTATATATTCACAACGAAGTTTAGCGCACATTCCGAAAAGGTTACAATTATTTTGGCACCACTTTCGCAATAATTAACTTAAAACTGGAAGAATAATCTGATCCGGAAATTTGGACGTGAATTTGAAAAATGCGAAAAATTTTGCGTCGGATTACTCTTTCACTTTTTAATTAATTATAGCAAAAATGATATCAAAATGATTGTTAAGTATGCAAAATATGTACTGAACTCCACTTTGGGGAAGAAATTATGTAAAAATTCTGTTATTTACGACTTTCGTTGGAATTTTGCTCGCATGGTAAAGAAAAGATCTGAAGCTCCCAAAAACAAAAGTAAAATTGCACTATCTAGCTGCAAAGTTGCATCGACTGAAAAACAACATCCTACAAAAGCAAAGCTAACTATAACATCTTCCTATCTTTGATCAAAAAAGATATAGATATAGCTTCGGCTAGTTTCGCAATGAATCCTATATATCTGAAATCTAATCCGGGTGGGTTTTTTGACATTTCGAAGTTCGAAGTTCATTATACAAGGGACACCTTTCATTAGATAAAATATTTGTTACAAAGTATGCATATGCATGGTTTTGGACTAAAGATATTTTATTTTTCTATTTTAGCGTATATTTACGTTATTGTATGAAAACACATGTGATTTCCTTAAGAACTTGATTGTTTTCGAACTATCAAAAAGAACACATTAAACTCGTGGACCGAGTCTTTATATTAAAATCATAAATGGCGTATCTAATGTTGTACAATAATTCATCCTTGACAAAGTACACGTACGAATACTGATGACTGAAAGAAATATGTTGATACATAAGTATAACATATGGAACATAATTTATATAACTATTATATACATATATATAATAGATATTTTTCTTCAAATGAAATCTCAAAATATTTGTATCTATTTATATCACTTTACTGATTTATGGCTTAAATATGAAAAGGATTGGTTAGGTGGGGATGGATCCGTAGGTTAAATTTTAACCGAAGATGAAGAAACTGGCCATTAGTGAATTGCTTACACGAATATAGTAAAAAGAAACATATTATGTTTATAAAGCGTTGATACTACATTGCTATGTTTCCAGGATCGGCATACTACAATAAAGCTTACAAAAATTAAGCGTCGTTTTAAAAACTGTGGAAATAAATCACTGCTGCCTTTTTTAATCCGCTTTTCGTACCAGAAGGAAAAAAAAACATGTTACTTACGAAACATTATGTATTTATGTTTATAAACAAATATTTTCGAATAATGTTTACATCCCATTGAATACACGAGTGTCACGTGTGAGTATATCGCTCATGTTTAACCCACAAAAATAGAAATTCTTAACTCTTACATAAGAAATGCAAGCGAAAAAATATTACTCTAAACTTAGAAACTTTGTAAGTCCTATTTTCTAGCTCGCAGCGACAAATGTCAATGTCGTTACATATCGATATCTAAGTTTTACTCAATCAGCTTGTTAGATCTGTAAGAAGGGAAACGTTGCCTTTGGATAAAATGCAGCTATCGTTATTCACCGATAGTAATAACCTAATAACTGTCTTTGCGAATTAGAGAATACAGTTTCAGGGTCGGTTTCACAAAAGTTACCTCTTTTCTTGTCACAGACGCATGTACGTGCACCCTGAAAAAACTAATTTCTACTGTCGCGATTCAAAAGATCATTGATTTCCAATGGTTTTTTTCGGTCGCTGAATCCAACTCTGAAGTCCAAATTTTTGAATTCAAAATGGCGGACACAACATAGCGGTCGTAAATCCAAAAAATTATCTCATTTCAATGATGATTGGTTCCTTTGGGTTTTTCAGGTCTCTGAATCCAAATTGGACATCTAAATTATTCAATGCAAGATGGACTGAATAATTGTGAGTGTTCATTATCACATGAATCTTCGGGATTTTTATTTTTGCTTACCATTTTGAAATTGAAGTTTTCTAGATATATGCGAATCCCGCTTTAATCAATGCGAATCGAGTGAATTTTTGGATTTTCATTCGCCATATTGTATTCGTCACTTTGTTTTTGTCCATTTTTCATAAAAATGTAGATTTAGGGACCCAGAAATATCCTTAAAAGATACCCTTCCAATGTTTTTACCTAACCTTTAGTTGAGAGCACTTTTGACAGAAAAAGTTTAAAGTTAGCCAATCAGATGCCTGTACTTCCGGAAATTCCGAAATTGAATAGTTAATCTTGACAGTTAAACCTTGCTTAATTTTGATGAAATCAGCTCCAGATAGTATTTGCCGTTAAAGTGTTAAGTATTATTATGTAACACAAGTTTTCGAATCATTGAAGAAAATAATTATGAAATATGAAAGGAAATATGAAAATTCGAATTAAAAGCCAGTTTCATTCTCGCATTTTGACTTTTAACATATCACGAATCATTTATAATAATGACTTGTTCCTCTTATATGAACTCTTCTGAAATCGACTTATAAGATAAAAGAATACTAGTGTTTGATTATAAAAAACTAAAGTTATTTATCAGCATTTCATAAATCGTAAGACATTTGACAAAATTCTAGTTGTACAAGTGAATTAAAAAAAAAAAACTTGTACAATCTACTTGAAAAGAATAATATCCACGGCCATGAAATATGATATACACAATTGGGTGTCGACGTTTAAAACGAATACACAGTATTTAAATACTGTTCAAAGCGAAGGTTGTACGTTAGTAATGATTTTAGAAACTTTCAAATGAATAATCTTGTACTAATTATTTTAAACTTACTCGCATACGAATACGATGAAAATATCACATCAATCCCACTACACTTCATCGTTAACCATTCTAACGATGATAGGACTAACATAAATAAAATTTCCTCGCAGAGTATCCTGTTCAATTCATAACTAGGTAAACCAAATTAATGGCCAACGTCCAATGAATTCTGCGCAAGGCTGTGGGACATTCCAAGATGTTCATATCTGTATCATAAACTGACTCGCTCATGAGCCTCGTGTTGTGGGTCACGCATGTTGAAAAACAGAAGCCACGAAGCAAAGGGCAGTTTGATCTGATCTAAAATGAAGCAAGTGAACAGAATAAGAAGAATAGAAGCAGACGGAAGAATAGAAATAAGAATAAGAAGAAGTCAGGTGGTACATCGGCGAGTATGTTTACGAGATAGCTGGCGTGAATCCAGATTCTCTGTCGGAGAGGTTCGGTCGTCCCTGCCTATATTTAAATCGAAATTCGGGGATGGACACGAGGGCGTAGACGTGAGCTTGGCGGGGCTCCCCGTGAGAAGCGGGCGAAGCCCAAGAACGTCTCTTCCTGAAGTGTAAAAGTGGTGATCAGTAGGGAAGAGCAGTGGCAGTGCGCGCGAGAAACCACGGAAGAGCAGCCGAGATGCCGGGTTGCTTCTTTCACGAGCCGATCCGCATACCGATAGACCTAAACGATCAGTCCGAAACTCTTAAGGTGCTTTACACTTTTCAATCTTATCGCGATATTCTTCGACCCGTATAATACACGTATCTTTGCATACCTGGCGAGCATTCCTGACTTATACCTTCTTAGTTAATTATCAATTGACTATGACGCTACAAATTTTTAATTCAATATTATTCAAATCTTCAATTTTTCCTTGCTCTCGTTTCATCGAAATTCAATATCTTGATCGACCGGAACAATTGTTTGTCGATTGTACGGGAAGTCTAAGAACTCAAAATGATGCAACCCATCACTTCGTTTTTAATCAGATTTATTTTAGTAATTAATACTGTATTCGATCTTGGATTAAAAATTGCTCTAAATTAAATTTTTGAAATTTCGAAAATCCTTACACACTAATCTTTATCCTGAGTCATGTGATTTATAAAGATTTTCATTCGTATTGCTCGGTATCACGTTGTATATTCTTCTTTCTTTTGTATATTATGTATTAGTTTTGTATGATTAATCTATGAGCAATCTTGTAACTTTTCGGGAAAAATAATATTAGCTCGCACAGTATGAGATAATTAATCGATTTCATTGAATGTACCTGTTGAAATATTTCGAATGAAGAGGCCGTAACTATTTAAATTTTTACCACGTCTCGATACATTTATAATTGATGATATCAATTAGACAACTCTTATAACCTGTCTTCTCTCAATATTTCTTTCGCAAAGGTCCATAACTTCAGTTTTACGAACATTTAAATGAAAAAATTGGTACAAAAATTGGTTTTACAAAATCCTTCTGAACGTTAATTACTTGATTTATTAAGTTTTCCACTCATATACAACAACCAAATATACTCGCCATTCCTTCGTCCCACGTTAGATTTTTATTCACAGCCACAGCTGCGAGCGCGTTACTTCCAAAAATACAAAAACAAATTTAACCGCGTGAGCTCCAAGGTTTTAACTTTTTCGTAAGCCCATCGATAAAACGACGAAAGAAAAATAGAAAATCTATACGAAGACACAAGTGTACGAAAATAAATCGACGTACCAATAACGATCGAAAAAAAATGTATACAATTATGATTCAATATTCAAAAGTAAGGTGGATGTGAAAATGAAGAATGGGATAATGTCCGCAACGGAAATTTATTTAAGAAAAATAATTGTTACTTCGTCTTATGTCCGCCATTAGAGTGTCGCTATATTTAGTGCAGCCCTTGTGATTTCTCGGTGTTATGTAACACTATGTGTACAAAGTTACTTACGGGATTTATGGACGTGCAACGATTTTCAGGGTGCGGAACTGATCAGAGTCTCCAAGTTTTATAAGGACAGCAAGGACGGCCGATTCGTCAGCTACATACACGAGGACACAAGAACCCTTTACGAAGCCTTCCGCAAGGGGGCCAAAGAATCCAGTAAGTTTGCAAATTCTGTAATATTGCATGAAAAGATAAATTTTGTATATGAGGTATTAATTTCAATAATAAACAGACTGAATATTGATTTTGTAGCCAAAAATCAAATTTGTTTAGCGAATATACTTATGCATCTACCATACATATGCTTCTTATTGTGAGAATTCAAACAAAATTGGATTCTAATAAAAATTTGGTAATTTTATACTAGAAGTAGATCTCCGTATCGTAGTTTATGGAATGTTTATTCCATAAAAACAAGAATGAAGATTACGATATTTCTATCACATAAAAATTTCTATGAAAACATAGAAAACATAGAAATTTAAATGAAAATAAAGTAGTGTTTACTGAATTCTCACATGGTAAAAAGTCGTATATTGAGATATTATATCAGTATCAAAGTGGAAAACACTACAATAAACTTAGAATAGCTGGAATTTGTTGCACCATGTAATAGACAGACGCGAACACAACAATAACTCTTTATCATACCTGCCAAAAGAGCCACCACAGTGAATAACCACTACTTAGTTGTGCTTTATCAATTTTGTAATTAAAGATCGATATCTTTTAGTAATCAGCTATGCGTTTTTGTAATTAATCTAGGACTCTACTAATACCGCCAAAAGCGACACGACAGAGCTAAATAGTCTAAATTAGTGCACCTGTTTAATAATTTTTAATTCATACTAGCACAATTTTTAGTAAAAAATTTGTGCAACAGTTGAACTTCAAATAAATACGCTGTTAATAGATTGAGAAATGAAATTCAATTAAATAATATTTAGAACAAAAAAAAATAAAATATTGTAAAATGAATATGCTTAAACGGTTATTGTTTGGAACTCATTAATTATATTATTCATAATATATGTTCATAAGCGAGTGTAAGCACTTGCAATGTGGCTAAACTGCAAATAATCACAAGCAATTCTTTTACTATTTTATTTTCTACTTGTTATATATTATCGTTATTATGGACCGTCCTGTGATTTACATCTTCAAGTGCAATCCTTATTTTTAAATCTGTTTTTGTATTTTGCCATTTTTTCCTTTTTTAAAGTTTTTCTCGTTTATTTTATTATTATTTTGTGAATCATTACTTTTTATCTATAATTTTCTGTCACATAACTCAACCTTATTTTTTTTCCTTCTCCACTCTTCGTATAATATATGTATACTTATTGAACTCTTCAAATTCCTAACTTTGATTACCTTCCTTCCTTTCCTTATGGCTGACTCCTCCAATGAGGAGATGTGCCATAACTTTGATTACCATCTTATATACTTTCTTTCAACAGTCTTAATGTCTTTAACATATTCCATTTTTTTTTAAATCTTTACATTATATTTATTTTATATATTTCTATTTTTATCCTGCTCAACTCCCGCTTTTTTTCTCATTTTCGATATCACTTTTACATAGTTTCAATATCTTAAAATATTTTTTATCTATTTATCGCAGATAATTAAATATAATTATTACTTACATATGTAATATTTATTTGAAAGTACTAAATTAAAAGCAATACATTAAAATACGAATGAATGAATTTCTTAAAAATACGGCAACGTACAGCGTAAATACTTTTTTATATCATATATTTAAATTGGTTCTTTCTGGACGTCCGTTAAATTAATGTTAAACAGCTGTAGCTTAGCAAGCGTGGAAATCTTTGACAAAACGAATGTATTTTTTTCGTTACCAAAATATCAACGATCATCTCTTGGCCGTTTGAATGCATAAACTTAAATAGTTATTAATATCAAATCAAGAGTTTCAGACATCCTATAATATGTAATAAACTTGGAACTTTGAAATATATTACCTCCTGCTACTAACAATATCAAAATAGTTCATTACAAATGAGACTTGGTGAGTTTTCCATTTGTCGGTTATGATCCATAGCTGAAAAATATAAAAAATTGCATCACTCTATGAGTCCAAGATTAATAATGTACATTATATAATGTACATTATTTAAATTTGCAAACAGAAAATATTTCTTCATGTTCGGACTCCCGCACAAATGATAGCAAAATTGTGACAGCCTGCGATCAACTTAAAAAAGATACTATTTTTTTATTATTATATATTTTTTAAATATGTTGAGAACTATGTAGAGTCCATGTTGAAACGTACACAAATGTTTAAAAATGCATTGAGAACAATTTCAAAATCTTGTATAATTACGATAAAACACGATGAAGTGAATTTTTGCAACGCTGTACGGAAAGTATACAGTTTGTGCACCAAAAACAAGCACAAAATGGTCCATTGTTGATAAGTACGTCTGGGAATGTTATGATTCCCGCACACTCTGAACTCATCAAGAATCGGCCATTTCGTGCTTCTTTTTGGTGCATATCCTGCGAACTTTCCGTACATTGTTGCAAAAAATAGTATATGATACGCGTGCGGGTTGGTGATTCCTACTCGTGTGACGTTTGCCACGATTCTGACTCGTGTCACGCTCGTAGGAATCACCAACTTTCCGCACTTGCATCATAATGTACTATTTCATTATTTTCAGTTGTGCATTTATTTTCTTCCTTATTTGAATTGCACGTCCCCAGATAACGAAAAGTATATACACAAACTCAAAGGTAACGTGGTGACTTATGGCTCCAGTAGAACCGACATGGTCCGTACGTTGAAAAGTAACTAGATAAGCTGCGCGCGCAACGAACTTCGACTGCTACTATTTTACACTGTAATTAGGAAAAGAACTATTTAACCAAATCTTATTTTCCACAAACGTATTACCTGCTTCTCAGTTCTAACACAATTTTTCGAACACCTTGTATATACTTTAATTAAAATCAATTTTCTTGCCAATAGACAATGGACCTTGTCTTGGATGGCGAGACGGATCCCACAAACCATACCAGTGGCTCCACTACAATGAAACTCTGCTTAGAGCAAGGAACCTTGGCTCAGGTCTTATTTCGTGCGGGCTCGCACCAGGCCCAACGACCCTCGTTGGTCTTTACAGTCAGAATTGTCCTGAATGGATTCTGACTGAACAGGCTTGCTACACTTACTCCTTGGTCGTAGTGCCTTTATATGATACTCTTGGCCCCGATGCATGTGCCTACATCATCAATCAAGCAGAAATCAGTCTAGTCGTCTGCGAAGACGATAAGAAGTGTAATTTGCTGCTCGACAAAGCACCAAGGTGTGCGGGTAATTCTTAAAAGACCCCCTTTTTTACTGGAATTAAACTCACGAATTTTAATCGCACGTATTTTGGATAAACATAAGGTATTTTAATACTATCAAAGTCAAAAGCCTCGACTTTAACTTCCCATAAGATAAATCGTATAAAAAAAATTGGATGCTCCCTATTATAATAGCATCCACGTTTATCATTAAATGTTACGTGTCTTAAACAAAGAAAATAATTTTTAATTTTTGTAATACAAAAAATGTCAGTGAATCCAAAACGTATTATAAATTTGTTTCTTCGTTATCTTTACAAAAATTTATACAATCAAAATCATATTCGAACAAATAATCGTATCTTTTTCGATAAAGGGAAGTAGCAAAACGTTAAGCGCTCTTATAATTTTTTTTTATCGCAGATGCTTGCGGAAATTAATCGTGATAAAGGAGACGCGACCTGCAACGAACCAGAGAGCGAAGAACCGCGGTGTGGAATTATTAAGATTCGAGGATGTTGAACGTCTTGGCTCCCAGAAAGATCATCCAGAAATTCCACCAAGGCCTACCGACGTTTGCACTATTTGCTACACATCCGGTACTACAGGAAATCCGAAGGGCGTTATGCTCACTCATCAGAACGTAATGGCAGGAGTCTGTGCCGTTATTCTCCAACTGGGCGATCATAAGCCCACAGCTTCCGACACGATGATCAGTTTTCTACCTTTGGCTCACATGCTTGAAAGATGCTGCGAGAACGGCATGTACATGGTGGGCGGTTCTGTTGGCTTTTACAGCGGTGATATCAAAAGATTGTCTGAAGACATGAAAGCTCTCAGGCCGACTGTAATGCCTGCTGTACCTAGATTACTCAACCGCCTATACGACAAGGTAAATTTCAATTTTATCAACAATGCAAATCCAATACTATGCAATGGATCTTTTCCATCGTGCTGCTTCACTGCTATATTGCATTATGTGTGTTGCGTAATTGCCAGTACAAGTACTATTAAAGGAAAATGATCTCGATCATTCTCGAAGCTTCGTTTAGCAACTTTGTTTAAATTACAATAACCGATGATTTGGTTAGCTAGTGGGAACACGTCCAAAACTGTAGATTCACGGGACTCACGTTTTCACTCCGAAACATTCACATGCCTGCCCAATTATAGTTGCTTATGATAATAGTTATGCTGCGCAATATCTTTAGCGTGCCAACGACAGATGCGATACAAAAACTCCTGCCATAATCCCAGCAGGTGGATGAATTCGTAGTGACTAATTGTATCGCGGATGATCTTGACAACGGGTCAATGGGTTTGATGGTACTTTCTTATTTCCTTAGTTGATAAGAAAAATCTGTTGTACAAGTTGATCTGTGAGACGAAAAGGCATTTTAATTATTAGTAATTAATAATTACGACAAGTTATAATGTAGTTGGCACGTTGCATATTCTTAAATAGACGCATTGGCACATTCAAAGCATTAATTCAATTTTGTATATATTCGTTATATGTATGTACATTAAAATATTGTTTTATATTTTACTTACAATGATATACATATATGTATAAGTATATAATTATATATTTTTTAGGTTACAGCTGAACTGCAAAGTTCATTCCTAAAAAGAATGTTATTCAACATGGGCTTACGAGCGAAGGAGTCAGAAATCAAGAAAAGCATAATAAGGAATAATAGTTTCTGGGACAAAATTGCTTTCAAGAAAATCCAAGATAGTATGGGTGGTAGACTACGGCTTATGGTGGTTGGTTCGGCACCTCTTGCCGGAAACGTATTAACCTTTACCAGGTGTGTCCTTGGGTGTCTCATCGTCGAGGGTTACGGTCAAACAGAATGTTGCGCTCCCATCACGCTTACCGTCCAGGTTTGTTACTGATAATGATACAACACATAAATATTGTCGGATCGCAAGCACACTTTTCTGCATTTTATAGATCATTTTTTCAACTAAGTAAATTTTTTTAAGTGCTATAAGTACTTGCGCAATTAATAAATGTTTAAAACGTTCATGCACGCTTGAATTATTATTACTGATTTTACATCTGACTTTTCTAATTTAAGTTTAAATTTTACGAACCAACTGTTTCAAAAATATTTACTAATTTCTTTACTCATTCAACTAACAGCTTAGCAAACCTAACCTAATTGTGATATAATTTTTGTACTATGTTGTATAGGAGCCATGACTGAAATACTTTAAATGTTGTCTATTTCAGGTATACCGCGTAGAAATATAGCAATATATTTATTCTGCTATGAAAATTTATTATCTGTAATTTGCTACGTGCTGTATAGCATCATCCTTTAATATCAATTGTTATATATTTTTATTGTTTACAAAGAGATTAGCGCTCAATTTCGTAAACCAATGCAGAGTGCACGAAGAGATAGGGTTTGAATTCAAGTGACTTTTTTACGCTGCATGTTTCCACCTAATCATACCAGGACATCCTCAATCGGAACCTCGCCTTGATTCGTATGAAATGGGCCGCGAGCAGAATTAACTTCGTATATCGCGCTATTCTTAGACCTCATTAGCTCATTAGTATTGGTGTAAACATTCAGACATACTGTATATTTGCAACACACATTGCAGTTATAATAAGACGAGGGAATATCGTTTTTACATCCTGGGTATGTCTTAAAACGATCATCAAAGTTACATGTTTATTACGACAGGTACATTGCAAAGAACCAGACATAATTTCTTACAAATCCGCAGGAAATAACATCTTCATAAAAGTTTGTCCACTTCGCAACGTGTTAGCTAAGTTTAAACTAAGATAAGGACAGGAATTGAAAATCGTAATTAATGATTGAATAAAATTAATGATTAATGACAAAAATAAGCTTAATTTAACAAGCTATTTTAGTTTGTTCTTATATTAGAGCTACAATAAACAGCTTCCATGTATTTGCATTTTTTATAAATGACATTTACATTGGCGAGCTTTGAAAGACCCTTATGGATAACAGCCGTTGGATTCTAAATGGGAACTAGTCAATAAACGTTACATAAATAAACCACATATTTCACCACTCAGCAGGCGGACTTTGGAGTATAAATGAAAAATAAACACCAGCAAAACTTCATACGCTGAAAGTGGATTTATTACTTTCTTGTTACATTCAGTTGCTTTGAATCAATTTTCAATTCATTATTATCAACTCCAAATATCTTTGTTAACAAAGTCAATACATATTTTTCTTAAAGACTGAATTTTTGTCTGTCTCCTTTTTAAAAATATTATATGAGCAGCTGAAGTTTTAATTTTATGTTCAAAATTTGTAGTATGGTACGGTTAAATTTAAATTTAAGATAAATTTCATGTTGTAACTATCCGAACCATACGACGTATTACTACATTTAGAATCACAGCGTTTCAGTAATGGATTGCTAAATGGTAATTTGTCAGGTACCTTTAAATCTGTTTGGATCTTCACTGTAATGACCTGAAATAACCCATGCTGTATATGGTACAGTGGAGGACTAAAACAAGAACATTGCAGTCAAATGAAATATAATTAGTTTAAATTTTGAATTTAAACGCGTGTAATCGTATGTAACACTTACACTTTAATATAAAAAAATGTAAAATATTACACGACTTTTAATATAAAAATTAATCGAGAAATTTACAATTCATTCCAACTTTCTTGTTGTACGAATATTTTTGCCAGCCAGCGTATATATACGACGGATAGATCACTCGTTTTTAACCCTTACAGACCTGTGGGTAAAATATGTCAATTTCCCCGAACAGTAGCTCTTAATAATGAAACGTTACACTGAAGCACCAAGTCTCACACGTGGTTCTTTAGTGAATTTCTATTTAACATGGAAAGTAATAATGTTGAAGTGACACTCAAATATTGTTTTTCGTACAAACTAACCCGACCGAAGCAAAAGTAGCTTCTCGTAAAATCACGAGATAAAAATAAATGTAGGTCTCGAGTTTCGATTACATAAAATTACGCGAGAAAAAACTGTGTAGACCTTCCTGTTCTATGAACTGAGTTCTCGTGCTTTTATTGCATTTGTCGACATTTTTACAATGTAAATAATCGAACGTGCCAATTGAGGTGACTAACATTCGAATGACATACACACGTGGTTTCTATTTCGAGCGTAAACCCTGTCAGTGGTGCGAAACAATAAATATACTCTGAGTATAACGAAGGTGTAAATATATTTTTATGTTGGCATCAACAATTAAAAAGCAAAGTATAACCACATGTTGAGGAACATGTGATCCTGACCTCATGTGGGATATTACTGTAAACGTATTAACATATGCTTTTAAAATTATATAGGGCGACCACGTGCCCGAACACGTAGGACCACCAGTGGCCTGCTGCTGCGTAAAATTGGTTGACGTCCCTGAAATGGAATATTTCGCAGTGAGCAATCAGGGCGAAGTTTGTGTCAAGGGTTCAAACGTGTTTGTGGGCTACTTCAAAGACCCAGAGAAAACTGCAGAAGTTGTCGACGAGCAAGGATGGCACCATACTGGTGACATTGGAATGTGGCTTTCGGTAATGCACTGGTTTTCAGATAAACATTTTTTTAGAACGTCTATTAATACATTTTCAGAAGGCAAATTTTATGAATTTCGCAGTCCTCGGGAACTATTCTAATTCAAAAAATTCTTTTAACCACGTCTGGATATTAAATATGTGAAAAAAAATCCTTATCATTTATTATATAAGAAATTTGGTGTCATATTTATGATGTTTCGGAACACTTTCTCGACGATAATATTCGTACTATAATAATTCTTCATGACTGTTTCATATATACATACATATTAGATTTTACTTAACTCAAACTGTTTTGTAATTTTCAAGAATATTAAACAAAAATGAAAAGGTTCAATTTTTTTCAATTTTTACTTAAATTATAGTTGACGATATTATTTGACACTGTATTATGTAGCACTCAACAAGTCATTTTTGTTTTCCAGAACGGAACGCTGAAGATCATTGATCGCAAGAAACATATCTTCAAACTTTCACAGGGCGAATACATTGTCCCTGAGAAAATTGAAAACATTTACATTCGTAGTCAGTATGTGCACCAAGTTTTTGTACACGGGGAATCCCTGAAATCCTGTGTGGTGGCAATTGTTGTACCGGATGTCGACGTGGTCAAATGTTGGGCACTAGAGAACAAAATTCCTGGAACATTCAGTGTACTTTGTGCAAATGCTGAAGTCAAGAGGCTCATACTCGATGACATGCTCGCTTGGGGCAAAGAAGCAGGACTTAAATCATTTGAGCAGGTTCTTAATTTTTACATTTGACAGCTAATGTATTTCTTGTATATCATATTTAATCTATTAATATCCTGAACATTGATAATGTTTGAATTTAACTTCTTAGTCAATGTGTCTGTACACAACTATCATAATTTCATGAAGTACTTATGGAATCTATAAAAGTATTTTTTTATTAAGAAATAACTATTATTACATTTATTACTGTCCAACAGGTAAAAGATATCTACTTACATCCAGATCCATTTTCGGTGCAAAATGGATTACTCACACCGACATTAAAAACAAAACGACCTCAACTGAAGGCGTACTTCAAGCCCCAACTGGAAGATCTTTACCAGCATCTAGATTAGTCAGAATGCTTAACAACGAGCTCATCCTTTCTATATCTAAGTATTTCTAAGCACTCATTTTAGTTTTTCGGCTCCTTTTCTCTATTTCAAACTCACTCTTAATCTTTCTCTCGTCAGTCACTGCACCATTTCACCGATTTTCACATCGTTCATCGAAAGTATGTTCTATCCTTTCGGTACTTTTATTATATCATTTCCACTGATATATAGTTCATTACGGTAATACAACAAATAAGCTATTAAGGTAACTGATGATATTATGGACATTAAATATGTTATTGTTAGACTCGCGTCTTTTATTTCAACAGAACATAACACCTTTCACAGTTCCTTATATTATATACAGTTTACTTATTTTCTATCATGACTATTTTTAGTTTCATTGTTTCTTTAAATATCAGCAATATGCAGAAAATTCGGCCGATAGTGTATAATAGTTTGAAAATGCGTAACAAGTAAATCGTAAATAACGGAAACTTAAAATATATTTTATTGAACCATTGAAAAATTTGTTGAAAATTTTAAGCAGATTGTGTTTTTCCAAATTGATTGCATCGCTCGGTAACAATAAAGTATTTAACAAAAGATTAAAACTTATTCACCTACTGCTACTGATTTTTTGTTTTAAATTTCGTGATACAAATACACAAGATATAAGAAATTTGCATTTTTACAATTACCTCTTCATCCTTTTTACTTTTGATAAATCACTTGAGACCAAATATCAGTTTTCCAATATTAATTCGAAATTTTGAAATTCATATCTCTTCGAGTCGATTCCTCTAATTGTAATACAGCTCAGTACGTAAAGTCAGTTTATTTTCAAAATGCAAATATCTGATTGGCTAATCTGGAAGTTAAGCTGAGTTTAAATATTAAACTGTACTGGAATAAAGATATCCCTAAAGATACTTTCCACAGTTTATATTGAAGGTTACTAAAAGTTTTTATGCAGGATGATTTAACTAACAACTTTCCAATAAACCAGTTAATAAGTATTAAAAATGTTGTCAAAATGCATCTTAAAACTTAATACCTGCTTATAATATTTTTGATAGTGCAATTCGAATGTCGATATTTTAAAAACATGTGAAGCTTATAAGCATCAAAGGCAACAGTCTTCGAATCAATATACATTTCAATAGCTTTCATCAATACCATACAATTTGTTCATTTTGGATAATCTCATATAATCAAACTTGACGACTAATCGCCCTTAGTTAATTTTAGTTCCTTACGGGTAAAATATTTATGCGGAATGATTTTCAAAAGCCTACGATTTCGCGGATCTTCTTATAGCTTTACTTCATACCTGACTGCTTGATACATAACATTTACTATATTAAATAACAACAAACATACGAGTAAGGATAAATAATAATAAAATAACAAATTCATGATTATGATTGGATTCTGAATGCACAACGAAAGATATTTCTTTCTTTGTATTAGCTCTGAAATGTATTTACGTAATACTGCATAACTTCAATTCTGTATAAATATGAAATACAGAATATGCATCACCAATTGAGTATATGAAAATGGATGAAATAAATATTTCTTACATATAGGTATGACTAAGAAGAAGGCGCAGCGACAACAATCTACAATTTGCACTAAAGGTTAAAATAAACATATTCCGCGGCCATTAATAAAGAAATTTTATAAAATCGAATTTGTTCCAAAATATTGTTTTAACTTGCAAAAATTAGGAATTTAATTATTTGCATTAGAATATTAACCCTTGGATCTAAAACTGTAATATACAACAAAACAAGCCACGATAATGAGGACCAAAGCTACAAGAGCTAAGATAAGTCTTTGCTGTAGAGCACGGACGATCATTCCTGTTAGCAATCGGGATCCACGACCCAACTCAGCATCCGTTTCACGTAACTGCACAAAATATATATGAATATACTAAATGTAAGTATAATACATATATTAAAAGTTTTGTAAAGGGAGGGTAAAAAGTAGTGAAAAGCACACATCGTTAAGCCTGTACTCAACTTCAAATTGAAAGCGCAGTATTTACAATATCATTTATTAAAAAGGACAAGTTTGCACTTTGTCACGATACTAAAAAACATATTTCGGTATGTATGTATGTATAAAGATTCAATAAATAATACAAATCTATACAAAAAATATAGTTATTGAACTTTAGGGATTTGAATCTCAAACTTTTTTGCGTAATAATAAGTATAGTTTATATTTATATTGTGATCAAAGTATAGAATTGTGATGTCTAAACTACATGTATATAGTTTCCAGAAAAACTTTGATATCAGTATTTTTTTATTCTCAGATTCTATTATATATTCTCACATAGGCAGGTATTAAAAACTTTTTTAGTAATCATCAATTTATAGACGGCGTTTTCTCAGATACTTTGTATGACTTAGAGAAAAATGGATATCAGAATGAGATTTAAAGTACTTAATTTAAAAATGATAATTAGTAAACATTTATTTATTTCCCTATGGCAAATGATTATAACAAAAAAGAAAAAGGACAGAAATGCGTAAGCAATTAACAGGTATGCAGGCAAGAAATGCTATTATCAATAGGAATATTTCAAATTTGCTATCGTTATTGTAACTATTTTTGTTTCTTTGTCAAACATAATTAAAAGGTGAACAAAGATAGAAACGACGTTGCCTTTAATCATATATATCTTAACTACATATACAGAATTTGAAAAAAAAATTAGATGATTTATTAATAAAATACAAAAATAATGCGCAACGCGTAAATCTGCCTTACACTGTTCAGCTTTTTCTCTCAAATATTTACATATACATATATGAACGTGTGCATCCTGAATAAGTTAGATTGGAAAAGTAAAATGAATAATAATAATTTTACTGTAACAGCAAAATTCTACTTAAATCGAACAAATTACTATTTTATTATCTAAAGAAAATTATTAACTTACCCTTCCTCTGCTTCTTTGGATCGTTTCTCTCTGCTCATGAAGGTCTTTAAGTACCTGGGAGCCAATCTCTTCCGTTTCAAGAACCATTCGATACCCATTTTGTAAAGTTCTTCCAGTACGATCTATTCGTTCTGATGTATCCAATAACCTTTTTCTTTGGTCTTCCATGATACCACTGTCCCAGTTTTCTTCACCTCCCATATCAATGGTATCATCCTTGGGGTTCCTTGCGGACTGAAATTCTTGTGTTAACCGTTTTAATTCTGCTCTGTGGCTTTCTACTCGACCACAAAGTCGATCCCTAGCTGCACCAGTCATTCCCCGTACCTCCAATTCCATTTGCTCCAACTATACAAATAAATAATGTTATGCATAATAAATTAACATGTCTATTAATAATGAATATAACATTGAACATAGATATTATTTTTTCTAAAGGAAAAAATTGACTAGTTGCTAAAATAGTAAATATTTAAATAATTGCAATTGTAATAAAATTATTGATTATTTGTACTGCAGTAAGAGCAATCTCAGTGATCAAAGTGAAATAGTTACGGATAAGGAATAAAATATGCTTCTCCTTTAAATTTACAATTAAAATAAATAACAACATATATTTAATATATTTTTAAAATAAATCAATTTAACCTAATTGAAAGTAAAAATATTAAAAATATACATTTATTGTCAGCATAAAATTTAATATTTTAGTTGTAATATACTCTGCATTAATATTGCATATTCGTGTCTTTAAACTACTAATTTTATGTAATATTAAATAAACATATAATATGTGAAAACACTCTCACACTCAAATCTTTAAATATAGCAGAAGAAGAAATTAAGTTTTGACAAATTATTATACTATTTTATTTGTAAAAATTAACTGTTTTAAATAAAAAGTAAATGTTTAAAATAATATATATTCAAAATATCATAAATGCACTAGAAATAAGCAGTTAAGAAACAATAGCATGATATGATTAGTAGCAACGGATGAGAAAACCAAAGTAAATATGTTAGTAAGGAAGTACAGTTTAATAGAAATATTTACCAATTCTTGGGCTTCTTCAACTTGTCGATCGACATCTTGAACCAATGCTCTTTTTTCACCTACAAATACATTAAACGTATCGATTATTGTTGTCTAACAATGCTACTAAATTGCAGTTGAGTGTCATGTCAAAAATATTAAGAGATATTATTTCATAGACTATTCCCCAAAAGTTTTTGAACAATCAATAAATATCCGTACTTACTACCACTGAGAATCGATATGCGGCTGATTTTTGCTGTGATATCTGCTGTTAAAACTGCATACTGTTGCTCGTAATTGTCGATGAGTATTGCCATCTTGGCCACAGAACACCTCCGTTCCCCCATTATATGCGTTTGGATTGGACATATGATAACATCATGTCCGCCAACATTATCTGTAAGTCAAATTTTCTCCCTAGTATTTTTCTCTTCAATCACTTGATCCAGAGATGAGTAGGGAGATTGCCAATGAGCCTGTTTTTGGTGAAGGCAATTTTTCTCTGGTTTCGGCGCGCCACCTTAGCGGAGGGCCCTCGAAGCAGTTCCACGTTTTTGATTGGTCGTGTATATATAGTAATACTACGCGTGATAATCTGGAGCTGTGTTTTGGCGTGCTAGGTTGCTCAAACTTTATTTTAAGTTTATATATTTTTTTTTAATTTTATCTATGACAGAATCGACTAATATTTTAAACACCCGCTCGTGCTGCGCGACCGGCGACTTGAGCGATTGCGGGACCTCTCTCGCTGAGGGGTCTCCTATTGCTGTTACTGCTGCCGCTGGTTCTTATAATCTTATAAATACTTTTTTATTTGCAATCTTCAGTTCCAGCGCCCAGTGTAAACTCAATAAGATTTACTATGAGAAAATAA